CCAAGAGAGGGTCGTGGTCAATCCAGGTGGCTGGACCTGCTCACGTGGGGGAGGCAAAGCACTGTAAGTCAGGTCACGCCAGCCGAGGGATATCAGCCATTCACGTTTGTTGTCTTCGAAGGAATCCCACGGAGGGACATTGTGGCAGGGCGCATGACGGAGGAGGCGCGTTTCGGCCTTGTGAGCTTTGGTCCAAAAAGGTTGGACTGAGCGAAGCGCATCCCCAAGGTCGCCAGGAGGGTTGTTGTCCAGGAAGACATTGCGCAGAACGCGAAGATGGTGCACGCATTCCTCCCAGGCCTGTGTGGCCCAGCAATGCGCACGGGAGGAGTGGGGGGGAATTTCAGGGAGGCAGACGCACAGGATATGGAAGAGGTCGTCGAACGTGGAATGGAGATCCTGTGCCAGTTCAGCCGTGCGAAAATCTGCAGCTTGGTGTGCTTTGACGCCGTCCATGCCTTCAAATCTGTGGGCAAAAAGTTCCGTGGGTTGCACAGCCGCAAAGATACGAAGACTTTCTCTTTGAAGGTGTCGCAAGCGCAGCTCATGGGGTCGGAGTTTAGCCAGAACCTGGCGCTGTAAAGATGGGGTGGACGAGTTCATGGCTTGCACGAGGCGTTTCCAGGCAGGCGGTGCATGTTGGGATTCGACATCCTCGGTTTCGGGCAAGGAGGTGAGGAAATCTGCGAGCACGGGCTCATGATCCACCCGGCGATGCCACCCAAGAAGCACAGCAGAGTTGATGACGGGGAGGGGGGCATGCCCCACAGGGTTCAGAATCCAGATGCCGTCAATGCGACTCGCAGTGCCTGCATGAGAGAAATATGTGAAGGCACGGAGGGATGGGTGACGTAGACGGAATACATCTGCACAGTCAAACTCCGATAGCTTTGCAGCGAGGGAGGCGGGGCGCATGATATGAGTTGTGCTCCAGCAGTCAATCTGGGGTGATTGGACCGAGTTGAGGTCACCCAGGACCAGGCATGTCATGCCTTGAACGTCAGCTGCTTGAAGTTGCTCTTGAATGAAACGGACTAGTTGCGATTCAGCAGCAACTTGGAAAGCGTTGCCGTCAAAGCCCGGCAGGCTGCTTCCGGAAATGGCATACACCCCAATGACACGGAGCGGTAGACCTGAGGAGAGATACAGAGTGCTTGCAATGCAACGCCCTAAGCGATCCCGTGAGATATCAGACCAAGTGGAGATGATGGAGCGACGTACTACAAGAGCGACACCAGCCCCGCCACGAGGGGCCAGTCCCTCTTCAGGAGGCCCATGGCAGATGGCTGTAAATCCGGCATCTGAAAAACCTTCCAGGAGGAGGGGGGCAAGCTGTGAGTTGGAGAACCCAATTTCAGAGACACAGCCTAGGTCTGCTCCCAATTGTGTGAGGGAAGAGCCCCACCATCTGCCAACAAAACGGGCATCTGTCCCTGTCCGTCCAGCCTGCAGAGCAGCGACTCGGAGAACCTTACTGCCCCTCCATGTCATGTCATCGCCGATACATTGCGCTTGAAACAATGGGCATGGGATGCGAGCACCGACCTGAAGATTTTCTCTTGACACTTGTCCAGCTTCAGAATCCGACTCTGGATCGTGGTGGTTGGGAGCAAGGAAATCCATATCAAAGGACCGGGCAGGTTGTACTGATTGAAGCGGAAAAAGAGGAAGTCCACGCCGGGGCCGAGGGCCGCACAGGGGCCGGTAACAGAAGACGGTGGAAGCCGCACTGGGGCCAAGAGGCCGCACAGGGGCCAGCAACAGAAGGCAATGAAGGCCGGACTGGGGCCAAGAGGCCGCACCGGGGCCGAACAGCCACACAGGGGCCGGCAGACAGAGTAGGACGAGGCCAAGCCTGGTAGAAGATGCTCACAGCGCAGAAGGAGCCAAGGGAGAGATGTACAGAGGCTGGTCCTTGTTTGTTTTTATTTATTTATTTTCCTTTTTCCCTTTCCTCCCCCTGACTTACCTAGGCAGGGCAGGGAGACAAGGAACAGGTCAAGTTAGGGGAGAGAAAGTTAGACAGAAGGAGACAGAAGACTGTGGTTTTGTTTTTGTGCGGTTATTTTGGTAAGAGGTGGAAGTTGCCTAAGACATGAGCATATTACGGTCAGATCCCACCACCGCATGCAGTGTCGTCTAAGGCTAGGTTGGTGAAAGTGACTATGTGTTTGGTTTACTTCAAACAGCTGCGGCCAAACATGCAAAAAGATCAGAGCTGCAAAGTTCAGGCATTCATGAAATGTGGTCTAAGCTGGCACTGTGACCCATACAGGAGGTAGATCCCTGATTGGCAAGTGTCAGTACGCATCTGAATTGGTAGAGTCAAGTCATGCAGTGCGCAGCCGCATCTTTTTACCGGTCCATTCGTAGTGGAAGACGTGAAGACAATACGTGCGAACCAGCATTTGTCCTGGCTGATAAGCTTCTTCCAAGCAAACACTACAAACTGTCGATCCCTCAGCACCTGACGCCACGAAGACACGTCCATAGGGGCAGCCAGGAATGTCTGCCAGCGCTGCAGGTGTTTCAGGCCTGGATGTAATCTGGATGCGCAGCTGACCGATGGGAGTGTTCATGAAATCCCCAAGCTCAGCTGCCACTGCCTGTCTGATATTTCTGTTGCCCAACGCCCTGTGAACGAGATGGACGCCCTGTCCAAGGGGGAATGCCTCGACATCACCTTCCAAGCCAGCGATGGTCTCACTGGCATTGAAGAAAGCCTGCCGCAACCCATTCACAGCAGCATGCGACAAGTCAGCAGGCAAAGGGGAGACAAATACACCTGGCGGAAGTTGCTGGGGCAGGAGGACGCGGGCAGGGCGCATCAAGGCACTAGCCAGCCTCTCCCTGCGCAATCGGCGCCGGTGTGTTTGGGTGCTGCCGGGCTCTGAGGAAGACCGGGGGGGCTGGCTGGGAGGGGTGGGCCGGGAAGCGGGAGGTTGGGGTGGTGGCCTGCGGGGCTGGCTTGTGAAGAGGGTCACGGGTCGGGCATGCCCACGCCCAACGGCTGCACTCGTTCGTCCTTTCCCTTTTCCAACACCTTTTCGGCTGCCCGGGCCCTTGCCGCGGTGCTGGCGGGTGGTGCTCCCTTTGCCATTGTCACCGCGCGTGTTGCCTTTGTAGTGGGCATGGCCGCCGCCCTTGCCAGTGCCTCTGGATTGTCCTTCAGATCCTCGACCAACACTCTTGCCACCCACGTTGTGGCGAGAAGGGGTTTCAGGAGAGTCTGGGCGTCTGGCTTCACGGGGACGCCGGAGGATGGGAGAGCGTGACCGTGGTCTCGCAGGAGGCACAGGCGGAGAAGCGGCTACACGCCCATGTTCTCCATACTGATGGACAGTGCGCTCGGCCAACTCCAGTGCCAAGTTCAAGGCACGTGTTTGGAACCCATCCATGTTGGTTTGAGCCTGAGGTTGACAAAGTGACATGTGAATGGAATGCTGCGTGTGGTTGTAATAGGCACATCATAGAGCCGGTACCTGCCGGACATGCCATTTTGAACGAGACATCAATGACCCTGCACAAAGGCGGGGTTTTCCGCCCCCCCCTTTTCCCTTTTCCATATGATGATCTCTGAGAATGTCAGTCGAAGCTGGACAAGCGCTTCATGACCTCAGTTGAGAATGATTGGGACCTGAGCAGCAGAGATGGCAGTAGGAAGAAGGTAGTGAAATGTGGGGAAAAAACAGTCCAACAGTAAGACGATGAGCTTGAAGTTTCAAGGAAATGGTATTTAGGTGTGAAACCATGGGTGGAAGGAGTCAGGGCCGGGTTGTAGCAGTGACCCTAGTTGGGAAGTCAATTACTTGTAGGTACCCAATGGCATACAACCCCAAAGGGGAGATAGACTGGATAGAGCGCATGGAGGCGAAGGGGGCCCCACACAAAAGACATTGCAAAGTTGTGAAAATACGACTCCAAACGAGCCGGGAAAGAAGGAACACACGATGCAGATAATAAAGAAGGCACTATCGCCCTGACGGACTAACCGGGGGGAGGGGGGTGCTCATCGGAAGAGGAGAATCTTCCTTAGTGCCGCCCCGGGGGTCCACACCCTCCCAAGAAAGCCGGAAAGTAACAAACCCGTCAGGCCCCGGGGGGATAGAGAGGATAGAGAGGATAGAGAGGATAGAGAGGATAGAGAGGATAGAGAGGATAGATAGGATAGATAGAAAAGATAGGATAGATAGGATAGATAGGATAGAGAGGATAGATAGGATAGATAGGATAGATAAGTAAGTAAGTAAGAAAGAAAGATAGATAAATAGATAGATAGATAGATAGACAGATAGATAGATAGATAGATAGAAAGATCGATAGATAGATAGACAGATAGACAGACAGACAGACCGACAGACCGACAGACAAGTGAGATCGATGAGATCGATAAAATAGATTGGATAGATAGGATTTATAGGATAGAAAGAATAGACAGGATAGATAGGATAGATAGGATAGATAGGATAGATAGGATAGATAGGATAGAGAGGATAGAGAGGATAGAGAGGATAGATAGGATAGAGAGGATAGAGAGGATAGAGAGGATAGAAAGGATAGAGAGGATAGAGAGGATAGAGAGGATAGAGAGGATAGAGAGGATAGAGAGGATAGAGAGGAAAGAGAGGATAGATAGGATAGATAGGATGGATAGCATAGATAGGATAGATAGGATAGATAGGATAGAGAGGATAGAGAGGATAGAGAGGATAGAGAGGATAGAGAGGATAGAGAGGATAGAGAGGATAGAGAGGATAGATAGGATAGAGAGGATAGAGAGGATAGAGAGGATAGAGAGGATAGAGAGGATAGATAGGATAGAGAGGATAGATAAGTAAGTAAGTAAGTGAGTGCGTGAGTGAGTGAGTGAGTGAGTAAGATAGATAGATAGATAGATAGATAGATAGATAGATAGATATTCCCTATCAAGAATGGCCATCACCGGGGCTTTTATGCACCCCTTTTCTCCATGGTTCCCCTGGTTTTTCCCGGCGCCGGACCTGTTTCAGCGCCTGCACGAAGAGTTCGCCCCCAGCATCACCCTGCCGGGGCTCTGCGGAGAGCATCAGGTAGCCGTGCGACAGGCCTTGGGGCTGGGGCATCTTCCGCTTGGAGAATCTAGATGTTATAACATTATTCTTAGGTTATCTTGGGTGGTGTTCCCCTTATATAGTTAGATATTAGATATTCAAACCAGCATTTCACATTATACTAGATATGGTATAAACATAGATGTCAAAAACCATGATATATCAGAAACTATTCTTATGACATCTTGTCTAATCATGGCCAATCTTAGATACCCTGCAAAAAATGACAAATTCTTAGCTGGTGAGCGTAGATAATCCCACTGATACCAAAAGACTAGTTAGGATTAAAGTACCCATGTAAGATTGACCTAGAACATGGGAAAATGCATGAACATGGTCATGTATCCATGCTGACATCTCCAAATCTTGGAAACCTCTGGGGAAAATCGGGGGTGATATGGGGTTGATAGATTGTTTTCACATGTTTCCATTTGAGATAAGACATGATGAAACCACATGAAAAGCCACCATTTTATTCTTCCAACACCTTGAACATATGGAAGCAAATGGTGGTTGCCCCCAAAACTAACATAGAGCCTGCTGGGCACCAATATTTGGAAGATGATCGTCTTCCAACCCTGTCTTGGCAAGATCCACGAAAATTATTGAAAAATCAGGACTGTAAAATTATCCTCTGGTAAACGTTTACATAGCTATTGAACATGGCCATAGAAATAGTTGATTTACCACCAACAAATGGTGATTTTCCATAGTTGTGTTAGTTTACCAGAGGGTATACAATCCGGTAATGAAATGAAATATGAGGATTTAGCATCTAGCTATATCTAGCTTACTTACTATCAGGCACTAGGGCAAACTGACCCATACCTACATGGGGTGCGATGTTGGACCCGCGAATGGTCCAAAGGGTCTACACAAGGTTTTTGGATCCCGTTTATGAAATCGCATCCAGTTGCTGGGTTTATAACTCCAAGAACTGTTGGGCCTATAGAGGATACAACTATAGTCTATAAACAACTATATATATATATATAGAGTATAATTCTTGTTTGGGGGTGATAAACCAACTACTATGAGGACATATTAGGACTATAACATGTTTTTTCTTCACCCTATACTACCTGATACCTCGCACATCTCCAGCAAATCACCTTTGACCTTCGCCAGATGACGCTCGATGAGGAAGTACACGGCCGCTGCAAGCAGGACCACCGGACAGATGGAACAGAAGACCTCGCAGCGGCGAGTAGCGGCTCAGTCCAACAAATTTCGGGGATGTTTTTGCCCAGTCATGGCCATTGAAACATGGGAAAACTATATACTATATTGGAAGATAATGATCAACGATCAAACATCATATTTTGGGGTAACCTATTTTCGGACGGATCCACCTTATACGTTGGGGGTAGCGGGGTTCTCAGGCCAAGGGAAGAAAAACAAAGGCTGGCCGCCGGCCTTTTTCATAGGAACCATTTTTCTCGGACACTTCAAGGGATCAGCATTTTGGCCAACTAATTTAGCACCAACCCAAGAGCCAAGGGGAAAATTAGCAGCTCCTGGACTTTAGCGACCTTGGACATAGATTGTGTAAACTTATAGAACCGACAAAATAAATGACGTATCGATCCAAACTGATGAATTGAAATCAAGTGTGCGGCCACACATTCCCCTCCAAACAGGTTTTTTTCGTTCAACAGTGGCTTATGATCATGGCCAGTAGCCCGCATCGCAAGAGGACCCATGTACCCAGCCATCGACCCCATCGAACCATGGCTAATCTTAGATACCCCTCCAAAAACTTAGTTTTTAATCTCACGAGGATGTCACATCTTCATGAACATTGACATTCCTCCACCCCTCTCAAAACCCACCCAGCTAGGGCCGGTTGCTTTCCCTGCAATCAAGTTTACTTGACTGGTGCTGATTGACGCACTTGTGGTCGGTATACCGCCATGACGATAAAGGTCTGTTCCCATCTGTAATTTTAATAAAATCTACCGGCAACGACCAAGGAAATTTCATTGCCATGGTATATGGGTGTATGGTAGATTACAATATTTAGTATTTTGGGAAATCATGATTGGATCTAAATCATTATCTGAAAAATATCAAATCATGATTGGATCTAAATCATTATCTGAAAAATATCACAATACAAATATATGTTAAGATGAACAAATCATCTACCGCACCAAACATTATATTTCTTCATGATCCAAAATTCCAGAAAATATATATCTATATCTATATATATATATATTGTCATTTCTCATTGTATACATCATCATATGGTCCATTGTCAATGTATCATTAAGATCATTTTAATACATACTTAAAACCTATTACTCTATGATATTAGATAATGACATATTTCTTATCTTAGAGACAAGTTCATCAACATATCCAAGATGATTACGTATATATATATATTCAGAATTTAATACGCCAAGATCATAGTTGACTGACCATATGTCATATTATCATATATCAATAACCATCAAGATGATTATGGTACATAATAATTCATCAATCATACCAGTAGTACCGCACAAGGCGGTGGCGGAAGTTTCAAAAATAGGAATCCTATAGGAGAGGTTGGTTGTTGTGAATCAGGGGGGTTGCAGAGCGAAGCCACTGATGGACCAAAAGGTGCTTGAGGTCTCCTCTCTTTCTCTCTCTTTCTCTGACTATCTACCTACCTACCTACCTATCTATCTATCGATGTATCTATTTATCTATCGATCTATCTCTCTCTCTCTCTCTCTTCCATCTAATTACCTATCTATCTATCTATCTGTCTGTCTGTCTGTCTGTCTGTCTATCTCTCTCTCTCTCTCTTTCATTTGTCTATCTGTCTAGCTGTCTACCTGTCTATCTGTCTACCTATCGATCTATCTGTCTATCTGTCTACCTGTCTATCTGTGGTGCAGTGTCATTCAGTGTAATGTAGTGTAGTGTAATGTAGTGTAGTGTAGTGTAATGTAGTGTAGTGGAGTGTAGTGTAATGTAGTGTAAATTAGTGTAGTGGAGTGTAGTTGTGTAGTTGTAGTTGTAGTTGTAGTGTAGTGGAGTGCAGTGTAGTGTAATGTAGTGAAGTGTAGTGGAAGGTAGTGTAGTGTAGTGTAATGTAGTGTAGTGTAGTGGAGTGTAGTGTAAATTAGTGTAGTGGAGTGTAATTTAGCGTAGTGGAGTGTGGTTGTGTAGTTGTAGTTGTAGTGTAGTCGTGTAGTTGTGTAGTTGTAGTTGTAGTGTTGTGGAGTGTAGTGTAGTGTAATGTAGTGTAGTGTAGTGTAATGTAGTGTAATGTAGTGTAGTGGGGTGCACTTTTTCGACATCTCAACTGCCAAAAGTGGTCCGGACCTGGTGTTTTTTGTGCATTTTGACTTGATAATGTGCTTCGCGCCGCAACGGCGTGCACTTTTTCAACATCTCAACTTCCAAAAGTGGTCCGACAATGGTGTGATTTGTACATTTTGACTTGGAAATGTGCTTCGCGCCACAACGGCGTGCAATTTTTCATCTCTCATCTGGCCAGCTGGCTCCGCACCCGCCGCTTTAGCGAGCCTACTTTTCGACCCTCCGGAGCCCCAAAACATTGGAAAAACACAGTGTTTCGCGACTTTCCTACCTTTTCTTGCATCTGCATCTTCTTTCTTCTTTCTCTTTCTCTTCTACTCTTCTTTCTTCTCATCTTTCTCTTCTCTCTGCCTCTTCCCTGCTCTGCTTTTCATCTGTCCATATTGTCGGAAGTTTGACTTCTAAACTTCCTTCGATGATAACATTATATATATATATATATCAACATTGATTCATCAATCATATGACAATAATACAATCAACATTAATCATATGGCATATAATTATATATAATTCATCATCAATCATATGACAAAACAATCAACATTATCAACATTATTATTATACAGTTCAATCCACCAGACCTAACCGCACAAATTCCAGTGGGGTCACGTTGTGAGGTCGCTATTAATTGCCTATGATTGATGACATATATATATATACATATGACATATATATATACATACACACATGTCGTTAAATATCTATCAGTATCTATCAACATATAATTGATATCCAGGATATTTTGGAAAATTGATACATATCATGATTATGATAATACTATAGTACATTATTATTTAAGATGGATGATTCTATCAACACACACACAATATATATATATATATATAATAGCTATATATGAAAATCATATCTGATCGTATTATATATATAGCTATAGTGTTCTATCATTTTTAGCTGATTGATACTTGATACTATAAATAGCCATTAATACATTGATATAGCCCTTATTTTGGATATATATATATATACATATGTATGGTTTCAACCCCTCTGAAAAATATGAAAGTCAGTTGGGATGATGAAATTCCCAATATATGGAAAATGATCAAAATGTTCCAAACCACCAACCAGAAATCTAGCCGGATAGCAAGAAATCCTCCATCAAAGTGTAAAAATCTGTAAAAATCCAATCAAAAACATCATCCTCTCAGATAATGATGATTTTCTTCATGCCAATACCGCCACTTGAACGCGCCAACGCGAGGCCATCAAGGCGCCGAGGTAATCACCAACATAAAGGTGGAGCGTGCCACGCGAGTGCCCATGAGCACCGAGTCCTGGTCGCCCCGGTGCCCATGGAGAAATCCCTGCGGAAACCTGAGAAGTTCCTGAAGAAAAAGGAAAAAAACAAGTCATAACCAGCAAAATTGTGAGATATGGGTGTTGAATGGGATGATACTAGGGAATTATATAACTAAACATCGGGCATTTCATCGGTAGAGGGGGATTTCGGAGGTCTATACCCAGTAATGATGGAGGATTTAATGAGATCTGCAGACTAAACTTTGGTATAGTCTCTTCCGGCATCATATGAAATAATTGCCCCCAATCAGGGACCCTATGCCCAACACTATACCAGGGTTTCGATTGGGGGATTCTCATGGATTTTCAATGCAATCGCGGAAAGGGATTTATGTGATTTATACAATGTTAGTAAAGACATACTGAACCGCCCAGATTTTGATGGTCTATATAACTCGTTATCGTAAAAAACATCTGATGGTTTACTATTAATAGGTGAACTACTAGCATGTTATTCTATTAATCTGGGATATTTAGAATAAATCTTACCTCGTTTCCCTCGTCGGTCAAATCGGCTAGCTGAGTTAGTGGGCGACATAGACCCACGGAGAGCCGGGCGCAGGTTCCAATTCCCACAGCACAACCAGGCCACCTTCCAACACTGCATTGTGGGAGAAATGAAAGTTTGCAACTTCCCTTTGTTGATTTCTGTTTTTGTGGAATGACCCCTTGTGGAATGAAATGGAATGAACCCTTTTTGCGGGGATTGCGGGGGTCAAGCCGAGCACTGCGAAGATAACATAATCGCGATCTGAAAATCTTCTTTTTTTTGCACTGCCCTTGTGAGACTGGGAATGAGATGTTGCAACTCCTCTTTCTCTGTTGGACCAACCCATCAGACAAACCCGCCTTTGCAAAAAAAGCAATTTTTGAGGCTCTGGAAAACTGTTTTCTCGCATGCCCCTTGTGGAATAAAATGGAATGAGCCCCTTGTGGGATGAAATCAGATTTGATTTTGTACTGCTTCCAGTCCACTCAAAATCAATACTTGGGAACCTGACATATTGTTCTACTCCAACAACTTGATGAAACTGAACCTTCTGAGAGACTCCTGTCTTAAATCTGCTAATCCCACCTCGTTACCTCGTTTGACCCTCTAAATTGCGCAGATTAATGTTGGGGAGAGTTTACTATTTTGATGGGTTTACTATAACTGGTTGGTGCTTACTATCATTCCCAATATATGGAAAATAAAATTCATGTTGCAAACCACCAACCAGATAAAATGACTGCTTTAGTTATACGTGCTTTACTAAGGTTACTCGAATCAGATGAAGTTCAGAGGTATCCAAACGCAAGGAGATGTCCAAACCGCAACGCAAGGAGAAGTGGAAGCGAGGTAAAATGACAGCTAGATTGCCGCTAGAATTCAGATAGATAATTCGTATTTGAAATTGTAACTCCCTTTTGTTTAGAACAGATTTATAGATAACTGATGTACATATATATAATATATATATATATACTTATTTGTAGTCACCAACTTGATTTAGGACCTGTATCATTTTATATTTTTATATTTGCTTATTTGTCACGATTGGTAATTCTAATTCATGGGAGAATTAGATTTAAAACCGCCAAGGGGCGGTATTTTCAGGCTATAAATCACCAAAACCCACTAAGAAAGAAACGGATACACATGGGGCCTCTGAAGGCACCACATATTTGGAGGTAGCGACTTGGTGGTTTGCCATACGACTTGGTGCTCCTACTTTGCAAAGTCGGATGGGTTTAGACACCCACAAACATAGCGTGTAGGGGCACCACTTGAAAAACCATTCATAGTTTATCACCTCCCAAAAAGACGCAGTGCTGTAACTATCACTATAAATTGATTCGAATTTTATGAGCGTGCACAGTATATAATTATTGTATAGTATACATTGTATTAGATATTGTATGATATTATATACGTCGATACATTAGGTAGGACATATAAGCACTAGATATGAGTAACCTTAGATATCGTATGACCATAGATATTCACACCCCTCATATATAATCTTATACATTAGAAACTATTCTTATAGCATCTTCCGCTTGGATCATCTAGATGTTATAACATTATTCTTAGGTTATCTTGGGTGGTGTCCCCTGATATCGTTAGATATTAGATATTCAAACCAGCATTTCACATTATACTAGATATGGTATAAACACAGATGTCAAAAACCATGATATATCAGAAACTATTCTTATGACATCTTGTCTAATCATGGCCAATCTTAGATACCCTGCAAAAAATGACAAATTCTTAGCTGGTGAACGTAGATAATCCCATTGATACCCACACGGCGGACGGACAATCCGATCTCTCAAGTCCCGGGCCATTTGGCGGGAACAAGAAGGGCGAGAATTCGATATGCAATGGAAATGCAACAGGTGAATCTATACAACAACCTAATTAATTATGCGTATCGACGTCGGCCATAGATCCGTTTGTATTCGAGAAACCTCTCCTTTGCTTCTGGTTCTTCTTGCCATTCGATAACGATGCTGGGTTGGACAGGGATATCCGGAACCACAGCACGGAGTTTGCGTTTGTTAGATTGTGCCGTTACGTACTCATATACTTTTTGAACTGTCAAGTTTTGCTGTTGAAACATAGGGCGACAACTGAGGCCAGCAATCTGTCCCTGAAAACCAAATCGGTGCAAAGATGATCCACCTTTTTTGATGTGCGGTGGTACAATTTTCGTCTGGAGAATTGATTCAACACATCTAACTGCTGATTGAAACGATGTGCATTGGACCATACCAGATCGGTCGGCTGTTGGTAAAAGGCTGGCTTCAATGGAGTTAAATTCAATGAATTTAGTATCTACAAGGGAACCAGATAATCGAATGGGGCAATGTTTTTGGGTGAGGACTACGAAGTTAATATATAACTCGAACCACGACACACCCCAACCGGCCACCATGGAGTTATTCTGGGATAAGCCTTGGGTATTTTCCATCGGCCACCTTAACGTCTTAGCCCAGGCAATTATATAAAGACCCAGGTTATACCCTTGGAGATTACCTTTGAGTTTTGACAAATCAACATCATCAAAATCCATTTGGATTCCTGGTCCACAGTCATAGTTATTAAGAACATTAAGGGCATCCTGGGCCATGAACTGCCTTTGGGGTTGATCGGTAGGGTCAGCTTCGTTTTTCGGCTCTTTTTGGGAAATTTTGATTACACGCTCACGGTTAAGTTGGACCAAGTAGTTGGCTACTTGGGTGAGGGATTTATGTTGCTGTTGCTGATACGTCTTGATAGCATGTGCTTCGTCAAGCAGCTGTTTTGGGCATCTTTTGATAGCTCTGCAAGCTACAGCACACTGCCGCTTGGCATGAGCAACTCGAAGCTCCAGCTCGTCGTTCTCCTTCCGCTTCTTCTCGAGCTTCCGCGTCCGCTCGTCCAACGTGCAGATCGCCCGCTCAGCAGTGACAAGGCGCGCTTCGGTATTGTCCTGTCTTGCCTCCAGCCTCTTCTGGCCTTCCTGGAGTTTCCGCAGCTCTTCCGACTCCTTGCCGCTGCCTTTCGTGTTCACGTGGGGCAGCTGAATCTGCTGAATCGACGGCAAAGACGGGTGAATATGGCCCTGAACATACGGCACATATCCTTGGGAACGCGCCATCATTGCGGCCAAAAACCTTTGCTCTGAAGCTGAAGCCGGCCGACTAAAGGATTAGTTTCTACCTGTCCAAGATTGACCTAGTAATCTATTTAAACCTTTTTCACTAAGGGGACACCAGCCTCGATCTTCCGCGAATCGCGTCATTCCCGGCTTCCCGTCTCCTCCTCAGCACAGCACCGCGCGTCGTGCTCGGACATGAACTCCCGGAAGCTGAGGTACATGACCTGAGGGACGGGGTGGAGGAAAGGGAAAATCCAGGGCAAAATCCACTTGAAATGGAGCTTTAAAATGAGAAAAACCACTATCAATGCACTTTGAAGCTGGAAAAATCCACTATAAATGTACGTTAAATAACCAGAGAATGGAAAACATGGACATTTCACAGGTTAAGCAAAGAATAACGGGTAGGAAACCAAGAATAATGTGGGGTTTGATGGGAACATCTACAGCAAATCATGTGTTTTTTACAATCTTTCTGACTCCAAAGCTAGAGGTTTACTGTAAATTTTCAATGAATCCTACAACTTGAAGGTTGGATTGGTTTCCAACATCCGGATTGCAAAAAAAAAGTTTCCTCCGCTGTTGCTATTCTTTACCTGATCAGATAGGAGCAAACTTGAACATAGGACCATTCCTACCAGAAATCATGGCGATTTACAATGACTTCACTAATTGGAAGATTTTGCGCACTCTTTTTTCGCCACTTGGCTAGATGGAACCAGACCCAGGTGATATAGGGAACATATGGCCGTTCAACGCAATCAACAAATGGGAAAATGATGATCTGGTGGTGTTTCAACGCCTCTGAAAAATGATGGAGTGAAAGTCAGTTGGGATGATGAAATTCCCAATGGAAAGTCATAAAAGCCGTTCATGTTCCAAACCACCAGTGATTTTTTGTTGAACTGCTCGTTTTTGGATGTACCTTCTGGAAAATGCTGGGGTTTTCCCCACATGGTGAATGCTTATCCATGCTTATCCCAAACCTCAGTGAATCTCTATAGTTATACCAAGTAAGAGATTGTAACATGTTTATCTCCGCCATATCCGGCCTGGTAATACCAAAAACGATGGAAAACCACCATTTTATAGCTGGCAAAATCAACGAAATTTTTATGGCCATGGCTTCAATAGCAAAGTGTTACTGCTTGGTGGTTGAGCCCCCCCTCTGAAAAATATGAGTTCATCATTTGGGATGATGAAATTCCCAATATATGGGAAAATAATCCATTCATGTTCCAAACCACCAACCAGGTTCAATTACCAGAGGGTAAATCACCAATTTTCAGCAATCTTCAATAGCAAACTGTTCAATTACCAGAGAGTATATTCCATTAAGTAGATTATAATCCCATTAAATCCCAAGAAATCCCATTAAATCCCAATTAAACCGTCATTAAACCGTGATTGCCTAGTCTTCCCACGGCGTGGACGGTCATCGGAGCTGACGTCCAAGGCGCCAGTGGCCCAGGACGGAGCAGTTCGCAACTACAGGAGAGCCACCTGGAAATTCCAAGCGTTTTTCCATAGCTTTGATCATATTAACCCTCTGGTAAACACATGTTTCGAATGGATAAGATCATGATATCCATTTGAGATAAGACATGATGAAAGCACATGAAAAGCCACCATTTTATTCTTCCAACACCTTGAACATATGGAAGCAAATGGTGGTTGCCCCCAAACTAACATAGAGCCTGCGGGGCACCAATATTTGGAAAATGATCGTCTTCCAACCCTGTCTTGGCAAGATCTATGGAAATTATTGAAAAATCAGGACTGTAAAATTACCCTCTGGTTATGTCAAAATAGCTATTGAAAATGGCCATAGAAATAGTGGATTTACCTTGTGATTTTCCATAGTTATGTTCGTTTACCAGAGGGTGCTTTAAAACTGATCACCGTAATATTACATAGATAATCATAGATATTATATGATATTATGGTAATCTAAAAAAACACTAAAAAATCAGTAATGTTCTATAAAGTTCATAATACTAATTATAGAACATTACTGTATTAGCTTAAAACACTGATCACGACTGATCATCTTTGAGCGTTTACAAAAGTTTATATTCGATTTTGAAACATTTTAGTACCTGTGTAATAGCCGTAATTTACTGATGTACGCACTGCAAACATTTTAATACCTGTGTAATGCGCATTGCTTCTTGTACATTTTGATTCAATGATTGGCCTGAAACACGAGATGGACATGCATAAAGACTTCGAAACACTCTTGCAATGTTCAAAACAACATTCCCCGGGCGGGAGCACATTCTCCATCATTCTACAGGGCCTTTGTGCCACTTACACTTCAACAAACTGGTCACCCACGGTGCAGCCAAGGAACCCCAACACCACATAGTTCCTGAGTTCGTCTGGAGTGGCTATGGATCATCCACCCAGAGACTTGACATTAAAGCAAAATACAATGTGGGACCCCCTTCTATGTTATCATCTAACTATAGTTACAACTACCATAAAGCCTAGTGAAATTCTAGTTATTGTAGTTATGTTCAGCAACTTAGCTATCGAACGGGGTCCCCACAGTGTAGCATTGTAAATGGATAAATGGATGTTCAGAAAGCCCCGCTGCCCCTCAGTATCATCACCTCACGGGCTACAAGAAAGGCCCAAACCTCTGTGGTGCTGCTCAAAATCTGCGAAATGCTCACCGTTTTTACCCCAAATGGCCCGGTATAAGACATGGAAAGACATGTAAAGATTGCATGAATGAAACGTCTACGGGGATTTGAAACCAACTCCAGCATCTATAGAAAGCAATGCACATCTTGCTAGACCACCTGCAAGAACATCTCGCTTGGTACCTGCTTGGTAATTCACATTCATAAATCGTCTGCAATCAAGCAGGAGGCCCCCCCACAGATTGGTAAGTTGGTTGCAGGTTTTAAACTGCATGAATTCAGCTTGGATTTCGGAGATATCGAGCTAGTTGGATGCGGTAAAAATGGGTACCCTCTGGTTATGTCAAAATAGCTATTGAAAATGGCCATAGCAATAGTTGATTTACCCATTAAACATGGTGATGTTCCATCGTTTTTTGGTATGTTTACCAGGCCGGGTAACTTCCATTCAATAGCTATGTAAACGCTTGTAAACGCTTACCAGAGGGTATATGCCATTAAGTGGATTATTAAAGGACCGGATAACCCCACATGTCAACTTCTTCCAACAAGCAGCAAAAGAAAGGTAAAGACGGCATGGGGAAAGCAGGAAAGAGAAAAGAGATGGTGAAGGATTGGTGTGGAGCAAGTTGTGTGTGGAAGAGTAAGTGTGAGCAAGTTGTGTATGGACAAGTTGTGTTGTATGTATGTATGTATGTATGTATGCATGTATTGAACAGCAGCATCTGCGCGACGAAGTCGGTGCCTGGCAGAACAACAGAAAACACCGGCTGTCACGAAGACTGTTAGTTTCAGAAGCACAGGTTGATAACAGACAGATGAGCACCGTCAACTGCAACAGCACTAGCAAAGATCCCGACATCGCAGCGTGGCGGACCTGCCAAGCGACGGCGGCAAGTGCAGTAATTGAGCTCCCACTGAAAGCAAGCAACAGAAGAATAGCGGCAACCGATTGCACAGAAACTGTTCTGATCTGTCATGAACGTGATCTTTTTTTCTGTCGCTCACGTGGCCGCGTTCAGGCGCTAGATCTTCGCACGGCGCGTCAATCCATGCAAGCTAAAGCTAGCTCCTTTGGCTATAAACGGTATATATACTGCACACGGAATCCGGATCAAGTTCAAGACAAGGTAACAGCCACATCGAACAGCACGGACACCTACGGACAACTGCGGACGGTCACAAAGTCCAGAAAGTCTCCTCCAGTTGCACTTCTGCGATACACAGCCAAGCGGCATATGGCAACGACACCTCCGCTGCAGACTCCCGCGCGGCACGCAGCATGCCGAGGTCGCCCACAGCAGTTTCAAACTGACTCTTATGGTACCTGCCGACGAAGGCATGAAAGTCACGCCAGGAGGTTCCTTGTGGCACGACCGCTTCCAGCTCCAACACTGCTGCATTATTCTCCAGAACCTTAAGAAGGGACCAGTCGTCCATGGAGGCCACGCAGAGAAGACGTCTGACCCGGGCCAAGATGATGCAGTCTTCGCCTTCCAAGTCATAGACTCTGCCCTCTGTCTGCTCCAAGCACTCAAGACATGGCATCCATGCTTCCTTCCAATCTCGAGCAGAAATCTGACTGTCAATCGTCCTTGGGCTTCCAAACGTTTCTTCCATACATTGGCGAGAGAGGCGCAAGGCGGTCAGAGAAATCGTAAAGTGAGTTTCTATTCTAATACCGGCAAAAAGAGCAAGACATTTTACACAGCAAGAATGACCAAAACTGAGCCGAGAGCTCCTGGAGCAGAGATCGATTTTTTCAGTTCTTCTAGTGTCACAAATCAGCAAGCAAACTTGGAATTTCTATGTGTATATATATATTTCTCTCTCTCTCTCTCAACATGCGTATTACATAGTAATTATGATTGGTTGCTGTCTACTGCTGAGACCACTGCTTCGAACAGTCTGTTCAGAAACGGCAGCATCTACGCGATGAAGTCGGTACCTGGCAGAACAGCACAAAATAACATTATATCCATACAGAAAAGGCGACGTCATCATGAAGTCTGTCAGTTTCAGAAGTAACAGTACGATCAAAGATCACGACGCACCAGAGTGAGCGTTCATCTGCCAATGAAGGCGGTACCTGGCATTAAACGTTTTCAGCAGACGTACCGCTGGGCAGCACTAGCAAAGATCACGACATCGCAGCATGCTGGACCTGCCAAGCGACTGCGGCAAGTGCAGTAATGTAGCTCTCACTGAAAGCAAGCGACGCAAGAATCGCTGCAACCGATTGCACAGAACCTGTTCTGATCTGTCATGTGCGCTATCTTTTCTTTCGATCACATGGCCGCATTCAGGCGCTGGATCTTCGCACGGCGCGTCAATCCATTTCAAAGCTAGCTCCCTTGGCCATACATGGCAAGATCTTCGCACGGAGCGTCAATCCATGCTGGTTAAAATTCACACGCTAGCATGCTGAATAGCATCGCACACTTCCTGGTAGGCCTGTTTATTGCAAGGAGTGATTTTGCCGTCGTCCACCACAGGCACACGAAGATAAACGGGATCATAAAGCAGCTTTGCGCGCAGAACCAATCTCTGCCCATCTGCATAGGTCGGGGAGAACTGATCTGTCCGAAATTCGGACAATGTTCGCTTTCCTAGCTTCAAGTACCACGCCTGCCACACAAAGTGAAGGTGACATCATGGCACGCCTGCCACGCAAAGTAACAATCCATGTCATCAAGTGCCACGCCTGCCACACAAAGTGAAGGTCGATGTCACAAAGTGCCACGCCTGCCATGCAAAACGCCGCGGCGTCCCAGCGCGGCCTGGGAACCAAGCGCGCCACCAGAGCCAACCCAGTGCCATAAGTGCCACGCCTGCCAAGCAAAGTGACCAGAGCCAACCCAGTGCCATAAGTGCCACGCCTGCCACGCAAAGTGACGATCCATGTCATCAAGTACCACGCCTGCCACACAAAGTGAAGGTGGATGTCATCAAGTGCCACGCCTGCCACGCAAAACGCCGCAGCGTCCCAGTGCCGCCTGGGAACCAAGCGCGCCACCAGAGCCAACCCAGTGCCATAAGTGCCACGCCTGCCACGCAAAGTGACGATCCATGTCATGAAGTGCCACGCCTGCCACACAAAGTGAAGGTCGATGTCACAAAGTGCCACGCCTGCCACGCAAAACGCCGCGGCGTCCCAGCGCCGCCTGGGAACCAAGCGCGCCACCAGAGCCAACCCAGTGCCATAAGTGCCACGCCTGCCACGCAAAGTAACGATCCATGTCATCAAGTGCCACGCCTGCCACGCAAAGTAACGATCCATGTCATCAAGTGCCACGCCTGCCACACAAAGTTAAGATCGATGTCACAAAGTGCCACGCTGGCCACGCAAAACGCCGCGGCGTCCCAGCGCCGCCTGGGAACCAAGCGCGCCACCAGAGCCAACCCAGTGCCATAAGTGCCACGCCTGCCACGCAAAGTGACGATCCATGTCATGAAGTGCCACGCCTGCCACACAAAGTGAAGGTGGATGTCATCAAGTGCCACACCTGCCACGCAAAACGCCGCGGCGTCCCAGCGCCGCCTGGGAACCAAGCGCGCCACCAGAGCCAACCCAGTGCCATAAGTGCCACGCCTGCCACGCAAAGTAACGATCCATGTCATCAAGTGCCACGCCTGCCACACAAAGTTAAGGTCGATGTCACAAAGTGCCACGCCTGCCACGCAAAACGCCGCGGCGTCCCAGCGCCGCCTGGGAACCAAGCGCGCCACCAGAGCCAACCCAGTGCCATAAGTGCCACGCCTGCCACGCAAAGTGACGATCCCATGTCATCAAGTACCACGCCTGCCACACAAAGTGAAGGTGGATGTCATCAAGTGCCACGCCTGCCACGCAAAACGCCGCGGCGTCCCAGCGCCGCCTGGGAACCAAGCGCGCCACCAGAGCCAACCCAGTGCCATAAGTGCCACGCCTGCCACGCAAAGTAACAATCCATGTCATCAAGTGCCACGCCTGCCACACAAAGTGAAGGTGGATGTCACAAAGTGCCACGCCTGCCACACAAAGTTAAGGTCGATGTCACAAAGTGCCACGCTTGCCACGCAAAACGCCGCGGCGTCCCAGCGCGGCCTGGGAACCAAGGGCGCCACCAGAGCCAACCCAGTGCCATAAGTGCCACGCCAGCCACGCAAAGTGACGATCCATGTCATGAAGTGCCACGCCTGCCACACAAAGTGAAGGTCGATGTCACAAAGTGCCACGCCTGCCACGCAAAACGCCGCGGCGACCACGGCGACACGTGGGAACCCAGCGCGCCACCAGAGCCAGCCCAGTGCTATACGTGCCACGCCTGCCACGCAAAGTGCAGCTACATGTCGCCAAGTGCCACACCTGCCACGCAAAGTGCAGCTAGTGTATGTGAGTAGGTTGTATGTGAGCAAGGTGTATGTGAGTAAGTTGTGTGTGAGTAAGTTGCGTGTGTGCAAGTTGCGTGTGTGCAAGTTGTGTGTGAGCAAGTTGTGTGTGAGCAAGGTGTGTGTATGTGAGCAAGTTGTGTGTGAGCAAGTTGTGTGTGAGCAAGTTGTGTGTGTGTGTGCAAGTTGTGTGTGAGCAAGTTGTGTGTGAGCAAGTTGTGTGTGTGAGCAAGTTGTGTGTGTGCAAGTTGTGTGTGAGTAAGTTGTGTGTGAGTAAGTTGTGTGTGTGTGCAAGTTGTGTGAGAGTAAGTTGTGTGTGAGCAAGTGGTGTGTGAGTAAGTTGTGTGTGAGCACAAGTTGTGTGTGACGGGAGGAGGCGGGCAGGAGGCGGGCAGGAGGCGGCGGACGGGATGCAGAACCAAAAACAAGAACCCCACACAAAGATGTGGGGAATAATCCCATTACATTGCCAATCTTAGATACCCTGCAAAAAATGACGAATTCTTTGCTGGTGAACGTAGATATTCCCATTAATACCAAAAGACTAGTTAGGATTAAAGTATCCATGTAAGATTGACCCAGAACATGGGAAAATGCATGAACATGGTCATTGAATCCCATTAACCCCCATTAAATCAACAACCTGTAACTGGGTCCTGCGGTCACTGGCCACTTGAGTCACTTGATCGCAATCCCACAGCCATCCCTTGCCAAATCGCCACCGAAAAGGTCAAGCATCACATAGAATCTGGAGGTCAAGGGTAGCGACTTCCTCGGGGGACGGCCACAACATGCCACAACGCTAAGGAAAACGGCCTGTTTACAAGTGATGTTTGATGATTTATCGATTAAATGGTGGTTTTCCACAGAAATAGCCCATGTTAATAGATGATTTATGATGATTTACCTATCAAAAATGGTGATGTTTCAGTTCGCTATGTTGAATAACCAGAGGCTCAGAATATCTTGGGGTACTTCTAAATCCCCCGCGGGCCATTCCCCATAGCTAACCCAAATAGCCCTCAGAAAGAAGCTGTCCACGCATTGCTCGTGTCTGCTGGGGCGAACACCGAATCCAATGCGTTTTGTGCAGCGCTCTGATCACCCGTTCAAGCTTCACGTGCCCATCTGAGCCACCCACGGAGGGGGGTGCCTCCGCGGCCAAGGAAGAGATGATATTTGAGGGCAGCCCTGGGATGGGCCGAAAACACCTTGGTGTCATTGCGAAGAAATTGGTGTCATTGCGATTGTTGGAGTGCCACGTTCTCACCTTCTTGGGGCAGCTCAAGCCGTGGCTAAACTGGTCCCGCAAGGATCGGCTTTGCTATGTCTTGCTGTGGGGATCCCAGCGTTTGACTGCCCCAGCTCTGCCAGTTTGGAGGTATGGAGAATGAAAAACGCCGCTGTAGAGGAGATTGGGCCCGGAGAATTGCAATCTCAGGTATAGAATACCCTCTGGTATTTAAACTAACGTTTAACTATGGAAAATCACCATGATATCAATGGGTAAAACCACTATTTCGACTGGGCCATTTTCAAGTTCGCAAACTGTTGACAAAATCGAAAGAAATCCCATTAAATCCCAATTAAACCTCATTAAACACCCTTAAATCCCAAGAAATCCCATTAAATCCCAATTAAACCTCATTACATCCCATTAAATCCCTATTAAATCCAATTAAATCCCAATTAAACCTCATTAAATTCCATTAAATCACCATTCAATCCACTTAAATCACAATTAAATCCCATGAAGTACCAATTAAACCTCAATAAATACCCTTAAACCCCTATTAAATCCAAAGAAATCCCATTGAATCCCAATTAAACATCATTAAATCCCTTTAAATCCCAATTAAATCACAAGAAAACCAATGAAACCCCAATTAAACCTCCTTAAATCCCTATTAAATCCCAATTAAACCTCATTAAATCCTATTAAATCCCATGAAATCCCAATTAAATCCCTATTAAATCCCATGAAATCCCAATTAGACCACACTTAAACCTCATTAAATCCCATTAAATCCCTATTAAATCCCATGAAATCCCAATTAAACACCTATTAAACCCCATTAAATCCCAATTAAATCCAAATTCAACCTCATTAAATCCCTATTAAATCGCATGAAATCCAAATTAAATCCCAATTAAACCTCATTAAATCCCATTAAACGCCTATTAAATCCCATGAAATCACAATTGAACCCCTATTAAATCCCATGAAATACGAATTAAATCGTAATAAAATCCCAAGAAATCACATTAAATACCAATTAAACCTCATTAAATGCGATTAAATCCCAATTAAATCCCAAGAAATCACATTAAATACTAATTAAACCTCGTTAAATCCCATTAAATCACAATTAAATCCAAAGAAATCCCATTAAATCCCAATTGTCACCACATTAAATCCCATGAAACCCCTATTAAATCCAATGAAATCGCATTTAAACCTCATTCAACCCACTTAAATCCCAATTAAATCCCAAGAAGCCACAATTAAATCCCAATTAAACCACATTACATCCCAATAAATCCCTATTAAATACCATGAAATCGAAATAAAATCCCAATCCAACATCATTAAATTCACTTAAATCACAATTAAATCACAAGAAATCCCACTAAATCCCTATTAAATCCCATGAAACGCCGATTAAATCCAAAGAATTCCCATTAAATCCCAATTAAACCTCATTAAATACCATTAAATCACAATAAAATCCCATTAAATCCAAATTAAATCCAAATTAAACATCATTAAATCCAAATTAAATCCCAATTAAACATCATTAAATCCCATTAAATCCTATTAAATCCCATGAAGTACCAATTAAATCCGAATTCAATCCCATGAAACACAAAAAAAAAATCCCATGAAATCCCAATTAAACCACACTTAAACCTCATTAAATCCCATTAAATCCCAAGAAATCCCAATTAAATCCCAATTAAACATCATTAAATCCCATGAAATCCAAATTAAACCACATGAAATCACAATTAAACCGCATTAAATCCCATTAAATCCCATGAAATCCCAATTAAATCCCTATTAAATCCCATGAAATCCCAATTAAATCCGAATTAAACATCATTAAATCCCATTAAACCCCTATTAAATCAATGAAACACCAATTAACACCCTTTTAAATCCCATGAAATCCCAATTAAATCACACTTAAACGTCATTAAATCACTATTAAATCCCATGAAATCACAATTGAACCCCTATTAAGCCCCATTAAATCCTTTTTGAATCCCATGAAATCCCAATTAAACACCTATTAAATCCCAAGAAATCCCAATTAAATCCCAATTAAACATCATTAAATCCCATGAAATCCAAATTAAACCACATGAAATCACAATTAAACCGCATTAAATCCCATTAAGTCCCTATTAAATCCTATGAAATCCAAATTAATTCGCTATTAAATCCCATGACATCCCAATTAAACCCCAATTAAACCTCATTAATCCCCATTAAATCACAGGAAATCGCAATTAAATCCCAATTAAATCACTATTAAATCCCATGAAATCCCAACTAAACACCAATTAAACCTCATTAAATCCTATCAAATCCCAATTAAATCCAAATTAAACCTCATTAAATCCCAATTAAATCACAAGAAATCCCATTAAATCCTAATTAAACTTCATTAAATCCCAATTAAATCCCTATTAAATCCCATGAAATCCCAATTAAACCACACTTAAACTTCATTAAATCCCATTAAATCCCTATTAAATCCCAATTAAACCCCTATTAAACCCCATGAAATCACAATTAAATCCAAGTTAAACCTCATTAAATCCTATTAAATCCAATTATATCCCATTAAATCCCAATTAAATCCAATTAAACCTCATTAAATTCCATGACATCCCAATTAAATCCTACGAAATGAGATTAAATCCCAATAAAACGCAAAGAAATTATTAAATACTAATTAAACCTCATTAAATGCGATTAAAATCGAATTAAATCCCAAGAAATCCCATTAAATACTAATTAAACCTCATTAAATCTCCTTAAATCACAATTAAATCCAAAGAAATCCCATTAAATCCCAATTGTCACCACATTAAATCCCATGAAACCCCGATTAAATCCCAATAAATTCCTATTGAATCCCATGAAATCCCAATTAAATCACACTTAAACGTTATTAAATCCCAATAAATTCTATTGAATCCCATGAAATCCCAATTAAATCCAAATTCAACTTCATTAAATTCCAATTAAATCCCTATTAAATCGCATGAAATCACAATTGAACCACTATTAAATCCCTATTAAACACCAATTAAATCCAAATTAAACCTCATTAAATCCCATTAAATCCCTATTAAATCCCATGAAATCCCAATTAAATCACACTTAAACCTCATTAAATCCCATTAAATTCTATTAAATCCCATGAAATCCCAATTAAACCACACTTAAACCTCATTAAATCCCATTAAATCCCTATTAAATCACATTAAATCCCTATTAAATCCCATGAAATCCCAATTAAACCCCTATTAAATCCCAATTAAATCCCTATTAAATCCCATGAAATCCCAATTAAATCCGAATTAAACCTCATTAAATCCCATTAAATCCCTATTAAATCAATGAAACACTAATTAAAACCCTTTTAAATCCCATGAAATCCCAATTAAATCACACTTAAACGTTATTAAATCCCAATAAATTCTATTGAATCCCATGAAATCCCAATTAAATCCAAATTCAACTTCATTAAATTCCAATTAAATCCCTATTAAATCGCATGAAATCACAATTGAACCACTATTAAATCCCTATTAAATCCCAATTAAATCCAAATTCAACCTCATTAAATCCCATTAAATCCCTATTAAATCGCATGAAATCACAATTGAATCCCAATTAAATCCCAATTAAACCTCATTAAATCCCATTAAACCCCTATTAAATCCCATGAAACCACAATTGAACCCCTATTAAATCCCATGAAATACGAATTAAATCCCAATTAAACCCCATTAAATCACAATTAAATCACAATTAAACCTCATTAAATCTCTATTAAATCCCATGAAGTAGGGATTTAAATCCCTATAATCCCTATTAAATCCCATGAAATTCCAATTAAATCCAAATTAAATCGTATTAAATACCATTAAATCCCTATTGAACCCCATGAAATCACAATTGAACCCCTATTAAATCCCATGAAATCCCAATTAAATCCAATTAAACTTCATTAAATTCCATGAAATCCCAATGAAATATCATTAAATACCATTAAATCCATATTAAATCCCTATTAAATCCCATGAAATTGGGATTTAAATCCCTATTAAATAACAATTAAATCCCAATTAAGCCTCATTAAATCCAAATAAATCCCTATTAAATCCTATGAAATCCCAATAAAACACCTATTAAATCCCATGAAATCTCAATTAAACACCAATTAAACCTCATTAAACACCATTAAATCCCTATTAAATCCCATGAAATCCCAATTAAACCCCTATTAAACCCCATTAAATCCCAATTAAATCCAAATTCAACCTCATTAAATCCCATTAAATCCCTATTAAATCCATGAAATCCCAATTAAACCCCTATTAAATCCCATTAAATCCCAATTAAATCCAAATTCAACCTCATTAAATCCCATTAAATCCCTATTAAATCGCATGAAATCGCAATTGAACCACTATTAAATCCCTATTAAATCCCAATTAAACCCAATTAAACCTCATTAAATCCCTATTAAATCCAATGAAATCACAATTGAACCCCTATTAAATCCCATGAAATACGAATAAAATCCCAAGAAATCACATTAAATACCAATTAAACCTCATTAAATCCCATTAAATCCCTATTAAATCCCATGAAATCCCATTTAAACCTTATTAAGCCATAGAAACGTTGACTCAGCTGACTCTGGACTATTTGAAGCCGGTCCCAGGATCTCAGGAATGCTATCGGTGCTGGGGATTTCCTGATGGGATTGATCTTCGCCAGTGGAGATTTTCATGGGAAATTCCGCTGGAAAAAAGGCCATGATCAGAATTATAGCCCATTAGTGATAAATAGTCCATTAGTGATAAAATTCCTGTATTTCATCAGTTGTCCTTCCTCCCTAGTTCGAAAAAACTCTCTGAGGCTAATTACTTTGGACCATTGCTTCACAGTGGGATAGATATCAATGTAGTGCACACAATCCATGTATTCCTGGAAACTACTTCCTGGTTAGCACCCGATTTCTGAGGTCCACCAAAATCAATGGCTCAACAAAAACCTCAGTTGGGAAGGATTATCCCATATATTATGGAAAATTAAAGCAATGTTCCAAACCACCAACCAGATAAACACTTGAAAAAATAAATGGCTCAACAAAAGCCCAATTAATGAGAAATAATGAGGACCTATCTTTGGCTCCAAAAATTTGAATATCAATCCCAACCAGAAGACAATGAGATACTAAAGATGGTCCTCCCAGTACTTGGTGGAGGGCTGTGCTTTTGGTGGATTTAATGGATTGGTTTAAGGGAAAATTTTAGTGGTTTAAGCCCCATGAATTTAATGGGAAAATCTACGGTTTCCGGTTTCGATTTTCCCTTAAACAATCCATTGATGGATGCAACCATCACACCCGCTGCGCAACTAACTTCGCACAGCATCGCCAGGAGCGGAACGATGGCGGCCGGCTGCTGCGCCACGTACAGCAACGTGGTGATTAAGCCCTGCGGGGCGCGGAGCGGAAGTGGATGAAAAAATCTATGAATTCCCATGTGAAACCCATGGGGTAGACCCTGGAACTTCTTGCCAATTTTGGGAATTATATGGAATTATGGCTTAGTAACTTAGTAGTAAGCAACACAAAGATGGATGTAAGAAACGCTTTCAGCGGCTTCTCACGAACTTCTGGCTCCAACCCGATGACATCCAACTGGATTTCTCCTTTGATGCGCTACATCTTGGGCTTCAGTTTCTGGTACCACCAAACAGTGGGCTCCAATAGTTGTGGTCGGCTGTTGTGCTTTCCATTACTCCATTTATCGCCATTTGAAGGCCTGAGCTACCTGAGCAGTTGGAATCTAACGCATATCTTAGATATACCGGATATACCTAAGCTCTTCGAACATGAATTTAACCTCTGTCGAGGTCAGTGCGTCCACTTAAATATCGTAAAAAAGGCCTTGAAGACATGCAAGAAGAACAAGATGCCTGAAGATGCCTGAAGAGTCATGAAATAATCACACCCTGAGTCAACGCCATGGAATTGATCAAAGGGACAATTTATCATGGAAACAAGATGTTTTCTTGACTTTTTCCCATCAACAAATCCATGAAAAAGAGTGGACTTCAACAGTTCAACAGAGTTGTTTTTTACTTTTACCATCAACTTAGAAGTTTATCGACTTTTACCATCAACTTCGAAAAGACTCAAGCCTAAGCCAATTACCCTCTGGTAAACTAACATAGCTATTAAAAATGGCCATTTATAGTGGATTTTCCCATTAAACATGGTGGTTTTCAATAGCTATGTTAAATTACTAGAGGGTAAGACTCAACCCGCTTCACCCAACGTTGGGGGAACACCACGGCCGACACCTGCGCAAAGGAGGTCACCAAAAGCACAAAAATCACCTGGGAGGCGAAGGTCCGCCGGGGAAAACACCACCTTTTTGTTGGCCATGAAAAAAATAAGGTGGATTAATCTAAAACCACCATATTCACCTTAAAAAAATGAAAAAAATAAACATGAACTGGGAAGGCTACATTTATCTAAATCTAAATTCTATCCAAAACCGTTGTTTGGCTGCGGTGTATTGAAATCCGTCAATGATTTCACTGAGTTTTTCAATGAACAAACTCCCGATTTTTTTCAGCCCAACCATTTGATGGGGATATAAAATGATGGACACTTTAATACTTTGTCGAACATATAAAATGTGATATAACTTAACATGATTTACTAAAGTAACTCTTGGGAAAATCATGAAAAGATGGTAAAATCTTATCTGGTCATGATTTTGTTCCAGCTATATGTTTTGAGATAGGTACTTCAATCCTAACCGTCATTCCAGTAACATCGCAGTGCTTTTAAGCAACTTCATCCAAGTTGACATATGATTTTTATTGTTTTTTTTTAAATAGCGTTATCATTAACGATGTTTTCTCTGGTTAAAGCCATGGTGAACATGGTATGTGTGTTAATGGTTTTAACATACAGTAGATGGTGCTTTTTTAGGTTAGTCATGGCTATAATATACAATATATGATATATATACCAACTACTAAGTAAAAGGAATTCCGAATAGTGGGAAGACCATAAACCATGAATCCATATTAATCCCATGCAACTTGACCCTGGCAGAAATGAGAAATTTGAGGGGCCACATTCTTGGACACTGCCCCAGAACCCCCCTGCCATGCAGTGGCCAGAAATGCGAAGTAGGTCTTCTGCAGCTGCAGTTGAGATGATGACTGGGATACCTTGACAGTCGGATTTCCAAGGATGGATGTCTCTGATGTCTTTAAAAGGGGCGGTTGGGTAGAAAGGGCTTTACAAAAACAGGCTGGAGCCAAAGAACATAGACTAAGTTGGTCAGTTGGTCCTGTCTTGATACACATACCCATGACGGATCCATGGTGCTGGTATATTAATGCTAACATGACTGGGGTTATATATGCTAACATGACTGGGGTATATTGATGGGATCCATGTTACCATATATAGCAGCACCATGGATCCGTCATGGGATATGCACAGCAGAAAAGAACACACACACACAAGACAGGCCTACTATCTTCGGGGAAGTGGAGAATGTTGATTGCTGATCCCTTCCCTAATCATCAAATCGAACGTCGGAACGGTCGGAACGCTCGGAACGGTCGGAACGGTCGGAGCGTGAACAAAAGCTGTCCCATCAAACCATTTCACTCAGTTGGATTCATCATGCTTCATCAAAAAATGTACCATTTATACCATTTCATCAACATGGATCATCATCAAAAATTGTACCATTTCATCAACATGGAACCCATGGAACAGCTTGTCTCTTGACTGGTTCATACATACTGTGGGGATATGCCCACCACCGGTCACTCCAAGCATCATGAATCCCATGTTCACAGCAGCTGCTAGTTACCCGGCCTGGTAAACGTTTACGTTTAACTATGGAAAATCACCATGCTATTAATGGGAAAACTCACTTTAAATTACCAGATTCATCCGATTCATCCCCCAAATTCCGGCATTTCATAGGTCTCATGTTTTTTTTGGACGCATCTTGGATGATGTTGGCCACTCAACCCTTACCCCGGCGGAAAAAAAAACGCGAAAAAGCAGCAGGCTTCTGGAAGGATCGGCCGATCTTCCTGGGGATCGCATGAGCACTGAATGGTGGTCAGCAAGAATCTTCAATATGTCACAGTTGTAGGAATAACATGGAATACCCTCTGGTAAACATACAAAAACTATGGAAAATCACCATGCTATTAATGGGAAAACTCACTGTTTCTATGGCCATTTTCAATAGCTATGTTAAATTACCAGAGGATAACCCCAGAACGCCCATTCGTTTTAAGTGTTCAGTAACAGTTGTACTACAATCGATGTATTAGTGCCCTTGGATGATCCAGTAGACGATCCGCTGGTGGATCAGTTTCCCTAAGAATAATAAGCCACCATAAAAGCATAGTTTCCTGGAATTAATATGTCCAATAAACCAGGTAGTTTTTTTTTTACTTCCAAGAAATGTGTAGCTCCAGAAAACCGAATGGCATGGGATCAACAGCCGGCTATTTTTTGGGATGATCCTCCAGGAGCTGACATCACGGTGTGCTGCACCTTGGCTAATGAACATCTGCCCCTTGAACTCAGGAATCTTTACCTAAGATAATTGTTGTATAGGCAACGTATTGAACATGTTTATATCAAAGCAATTGTTTAAGAATTTGGCAACCCCGAACTCTGGTCTTTTTGTCTGCGGAAATTACTGAAAGAGCGGCCAACATGAATTTGTGAAACACTGGTTTGACAAGTTTCATGCAAGTGTTTTTGGGCACCATCCTATTATCCTATTATCAGGAGGGGTTCATACACCTTTTCCCTCAAAGCAAAGTCTAGAAGAGAAACATCCATTTATGGTGTGGGGATGGTTTATGATTGGGTTTACCAGATTACTACGTCGCACTCCGCATCATTTGCCGTCTTGGTCCTATAACTCCAATCATCTTTTTGTCTCCAGTCCCACATCTTTGCTGGCTTTTCGCTGCGCGCCATTTTTTCACCCAAAAAAACATCGTGAAGCAGAGATAAGCCAAGCATCAAGAGGATGGCAGGGATGAAGGCCAACATGATCTTCAAACTCAAAGTTGCCAGTACACCTTCCAGCCTGGGAGGATCTAAAGGATGATCGTTCACGACTAACCGACAATTGGAATCGGCCATGGGACACCCACAAAAAAATCCCCAGGTGACCATCAGACTTGGCGTATGACTATCCCGACAGCGTTCATTTTTTTCTTCATTTAGGATGATTTCGGCAGTAGAGAGTCATCTCTTCTTTGTGATGAACAATTCTTAGATACCGAACATACTGGCAGTTCTTCATCTATTTGGTGCCGCAGAGCGGTCAAACAGAGTCACAATAATTTTCATTCCACAAATCAAGCATCATTTTTGAAATCATGTGAAATAGTCGCAAATCATCACAGTCACAAATTATGACATAGTAACGCTATTTCATTCCCCATAATCAACCGTTTTGGGGAAGTTTCCCTACTGTTCCCTATCATTCAGCATCATTTGTTCACCTGGTTGAGGCCGAGCGACATCTCCACCACAATGGGCATGGACTGCCGCCACCTTGCGAGTTGTGAGTAATAACCATATTACAACCCAGCTACCCTCTGGTAAACGTTTACATAGCTATTGACAATAGCCATTTATAGTTGATTTACCCATCAAACATGGTGATTTTTTTTATATTTATATATGTTATGTTTGTTTACCAGATGGTATATATGGATTTGTTTGAAAATCGTGCAGCATAGTGTGGGCCTAAACCCAAGGGCGAGTCATCATTTTCCCTACTCAAAAATGATCTGAGATATGCCTATGATTGAAGGAAAAACCATGGTATACCCCATTTCCAGACCCATATATGAGATACCCCACTAATAGATTGGTTGATGGTTGATGCCCGGGGATTCAACATTGGAATGCCCGGAGGCGGGTCCTCAAACGTGGCACTTTAACCTCCCTGCAAATATCTATAAATGAAGGTTTCAAGGTGGAAAAACCATCTATAAATCCGCAGTTGTCCACAGAGCCGCTATCACGAGAACCGGTTTCGACCGTCAAGGTCTTGTTCAACCCTGGGCTCTTTGAGGCAAAATGCCTGCAAATGAGCAAAATCGTGCTGAATTGTTTTTAAATTTCAAAACGCAGACCCCTCATGACCCCTCCCACCCCCCCTGGGCTTTGATGACAACATAATAAAAAGGACCAGTTGCTGAGGGTAGCAGTGCCTAAACATCAGCAAAATCTGAAAAACGTCCTCTGCTTTTAAATGTTTTTAATTTAATGACAAATTACAATAAATTACAGTACCATTTACTACGCATCTACCTATGATAGTAAACGTTGCCAGCTGAATTAGAACTTCCCTGGACTGCTTTAGAACTCGCTGGAATTACATCCTGCTTTAGAACTTCCCTCAGACTAGCATGTCCAGAAGATCTGCCTTGCCTAGTCGTCCAGAGCGTCGAGGTTGTACATGGGCAGACCGAGCCGCTTAGCTGCTTCTTGATGCTGTACATAAGTGTTTCGGGACAACGTCCCTCCCCCTGTGGAGTCTCACTGGAGTCTCACTGGAGTCACTGGCCGCTGCGCTTCCCTCTTGATGTTACGTACGGCGGCTTTCATTGTTGTCATCGGCCACGACATCTGAGTCATCAACGACAGCACGCTGTCGTTCGTGGCTTTTGTGGCTTGACGTAAGGCAGCAGGCAGCCAGCTATAATCCACGCTGAAATTCAGAAGGATTGCATCAAGCTGAGCTATTAGGGTCTGCTGCAGAATCTGTGGAAGTCGAACTGCTCCTCTTCGAATTCGAACCACTGAAGGGCGCTTGCCCTTTGTGGTGGAAGTAGATATTGATTCATGAAGCCGGTTGGAAAAGACGATATGATGGCATCTTCGCCTCCGCTGTACTTGTCTTGCCTACATACCATTATTTAAGGCCACTTCGTGGAGAGGTTGCCATCATCTAACCAGATAGTTGATGTCGCAATAGGAAGAACCCCGAATTCAGTCAGACCCCCGCCCACGTTGCACTGTGCAAACCGCTCGTTTGATGCTTCCATTCAAATTCTCATCGGTTGGATCTACCATCTTTTCCAGCATTTTTGCCCTGGTACAATCTAGTTCCCATCAAAAATTCCCTCTGGTAAACTAACGTTGAACTATGGAAAATCACCGTTTTTCACCGGTAAATCCACTATTTCTATGTTGGATCTTCATCCCCAAATCCGTCCAACTCCGGCACCGGAGCCATCTCCCTGGACCACGGATATGCGCACCGGTGAATCGCGGGAAAGATCTGCTGCCAGGACTTGAGACTGAGCAAGGTGGAGACAAAGACCACCTGAAGTGCAATGGGTGTACCCGGCCTGGTAAACCTACAAAAAACGATGGAAAGATCCACCATTTTTTTGGGCTGGGAAAACTCACTATTTCGACTGGTCCATGTTCAAGTTCGCAAACTGTTAAATTACCAGAGGGTATGACTAGTGATAGGTTGCACAAGATGATACATTTCATGGATTCATGGCTATTACATAAACAATGATAATATAATAATGGAATATAATGACTAGATGATACATCCCTAGTGCTCCAAATACATCCAAATACTCTCTGAGAAGGTGTTTAGACCCCAAAAAACAACTCCAAATACAGTCTGAAAAGGTGTTTGGAGCCGGAGGGCATAATGGATATCCATATAAACAAGAATAATATATAATAATATCATAATGGATACGTAACCCCACATTGAGGTTTCCAATATAGTACATTATATTGATACATAATGATGCCCCGGCCAAATGTTTTTTGGCTTTATAAATCCATGAAAATTGTAGTTTCATCCCCCATAAACATCCATAAACCATCAGGCTTGCCACCTGGTAGGGGCCCACCATACAAAAAGATGTTGAAAACACCATGGAAAACCAAAATGGTTTCCCATTCGGAAAATGACATTCATGGTGGGTTTTCCACATCTACGTACTGTAAACGTTTACAGGAGGGTAACTAGGGTTTATGGGGGTATATAATGGGATATAACATGATTATATTCATGGGTTGAACAACCGGCTTAGACTTAGGGGGCGGCCTTACCTTGTACCAACAAAAAATGTAGAAGACTGGGGAGATATTGCAATGGATACCCTCTGATAATTTAACATAGCTATTGAAAATAGCCATAGAAATAGTTGATTAATCCATTAAGAAATGATGAATTTCCATAGTTATTGTTGTCACATCCAGGCACGTCAGCCTGGCTTCGCCAGCCTTCACTGTGTTGTCGAGTCTTGAGTTCTTTCTTTTCACCGGCAGCACTCCAAACTCAAGTAATTGGGAAGCCTTCTCAAGGCTTAGCAGCTGGGAAATCTAGTTTGATTTGCCAAGCCGTTCTAAATTCAACTCTGTGGTGGCGGGGCGGTGGTGGCCAAACAGAAAGCTACAGACAACACATGTTGACTGCCCTTCCATGAAAACAATGCCTTTCATTGTTGTCACATCCAGGCACGTCAGCCTGGCTTCGCCAGCCTTCACTGTGTTGTCGAGTCTTGAGTTCTTTCTTTTCACCGGCAGCACTCCAAACTCAAGTAATTGGGAAGCCTTCTCAAGGCTTAGCAGCTGGGAAATCTAGTTTGATTTGCCAAGCCGTTCTAAATTCAACTCTGTGTCCCACCCTACCCTTCACGGGCGGGCGGGCTCGGGTGCATTGCTGCGGGTGTGTCTGGCAGCCTAGCATCACAGGCAACATGCAAAAGACGAAGAAACAAATCCCCCAACACCTTTACGCGGTCACGATTTTTTTGGGGAAATCGGATCCAAATCTCAGATGCACCTAATTCCTGTACATACGTTTCTAACATCTTGTACGATTTCCATCTACCTCTCCACTGTACTCTGGTCAAGTCTTCATTAAACTTCCTAAAGAGAAAGGTAGCCCCCCCCGGTCTCAGGGAAGAAGGTTGGAACACACAACACTGAAGGACTTCCTGCTGCACCAACTCAAGGCGAGTCTTGAAGGAGCTGACAGAACCACACCAAAGTTTTCTCCACATCGGCATTGAGCCCAGGATCAGCTGTACCCAAGCAGCAACGCCTGTTTCGTCGATGCGCACGTGCTGCGCCATTGCAGCACGAAAGCGCGTCTTCGGCTGGCCTATTCGAACGTACAAGACTTGCGGTTCCCAGTGGTTCTGTGGAAGTGACAGGTCTCGTCGTCGCAAGCCAACAAGCTCTGAGGGTCTCAGTAAGCCAAAATAGCCTATGACCAGCAGGGCCGCAAAATGCGGCCAATTCCAGGCCAGAGCAGTACTTGCAAGCGCAAGAACGACTTGCAAAGGCATTGGTGGGTGGTGTGTCACTGGCTCCAACATATCCCACGTCTTCAGCACATTCCACGGCGCAGCAAGAGAGGATCGAAGCCAGCCAAATTGTTGGACCACCGCATTGAGACTCTCCGCCGCGGAGCGACGGCTTGCCCCCTCCAGATACAAGGTGACCATATATTCTTCGAGCCACTCTGACAAAACATCTATGTGGTGCCGTGCCAAGAGCTCCAGAGAAGTGTCCGGAAGCTGTTCGGCCAACCACGTTTCCAGTTTGTTGAGCAGCCCTTGTCGAATGCTTCGAGTCCGCTCGGTGATCCTGCCTCTTTCGATCAATGAGCGATCTCGAAGGTGAACTGCTGGGGGCCGCGGCGCTGCCACTAGCGGACAAAAGCAACACGCCAACAAACAGATACCAACGATTAAGGGCCCTAGAGAGCCCCTGCAGGCCATCCAACTTGCTGGCAGCCTGACGGCTGCCCTGGCGCAGTGCCCAAAACCACTTAGGCAAAGGGGTGCGAGCGCCCAGCACCTTGCGGCCCCTGCTTGGGCCATCAGCTCTCAAAGACCAAGTTGGGAAGTGAATGCTGGCCACATGCAAATTTTTGCCTAGCAAAAAAGGGGCTTCAGATCGCATGAGTCTGTTTAAGGCAGCAGAGGGACTTCGACCCTTTCCTAAGGAACCAATATTAACACGACTATCTTGGGCCACCACAAGTCTTTTATCCCTTCCAATTCTTTTAAACAACGTCCTACGGGCTTTGGTTTCCTGTAAATTAATATGTTCTTTTTGGCGAAACTCATACTGCACCCATGGTTTCCAAGTCAGCCCTTCCGACAACTGCACGGCCCACAGAGCCGAACCCCCCTTAGGACGGCGTCTGCCGCTGTCCCCAAAAGGTTTCAAACAAAAATCCGCATCTTGGACTAACGAGCTTTGATCCAAGAAGGGGGCGTTGTAGGGAATGTCACCGACACCATCCTCCCAGAATGGTTGGGCGTGAGAATGCTCCCAAGCTTTCCAGAGGCTAGCAACCCGATCGCAAAAATATTCGGAATAAGCCGCAGCATTCGTAGTATCCCCTCCATTAAGCACCAGGTGTTTCCTCTGGTTATGATGACAGCATCTTCGGCCTAATTTCTTAAGAGGCACAAAATTCGAAATCAAACAAGTTGTTTTTCTGAAGTTTCGACCAAAACGACACCAATCAAACAAGACTTCGAAAAAATTTTCCCGACGAGACAACACGCGCCATGCCCCCAAAGCCCTGATAAGACTGGTAGCAGCCACCTCACCTGCCATGAAGAGCCCAAGCGTAACCTGAACCAACGCCAACAGGGCGCACTGACAAGCGTGCAGATTACCTTTCACCACACAATCCGCAAGCACATCCAAACCCCAAGGCGCCTCCGCAGACCTCACCCTCGCAGCCTGCGACGAGGAAAACGTAGCACCAGGAGGGGCCCACCACAGAAACCGGACCTTTCCAGCCCTGACAAAAGACAAGAGGCCAAAAAACAACTCAGGGTCAAGGAGGTCCCAACCTTGTTTCACCTCGAGCGGCGGCAAGACCTTGAAACCTTTAGCCTTCCACGCATGAGACATTTGCGCACCTCCAGCATAAACTTCCAACAAGTCAAAAGGAAACTCAAACAACGCCAAAGACGGATCAGCCAACATCACGCGATGTTCAAAAACAACTTCCAAACTCCCATGCATTTGCCCCACACTAGCAGACCCCCTGCCTTCATCACCCGTAGACTCCTCCTCACCCAAAACCGCCTCCTCATCCCAGCCACTGCCCTTCAAACTCGACTGCAGCCTGGACAGCAAAGGCATTCGATACCCCACCTTGTCACCACGACGCCACAACTCCCCAGACACTTCAACCCCGACTTCAGCCCGACACACCCCCACACCAGACGGAGAGGCATCAACACAATAAAGAAAAGAATCAGGAAGAGCCCTGGCATCGCACACGCAGAGCGGGGCGCAACTAGCCAGCACCATCAATTCGTTCCGGGCCCCCTGGGTCAGTTTAAAAAAATCCTCGGGTCCCCCGGGAGAAAGTTGGTGATAGATATCATACATGAAAGCAAAAAGGGGTCGGCGAAATTGGAGATTAAAAGCCCATAACCCCGTTATAGCTTCAACCAGTTTCTGGTCAACTGGGCCACTTTTTGCCATTGAAACCGACAACTGTGCAAGTCGTAGGAGCTTACAGCGGGAAGGGCCGATGAGGCCGGCCTTACCTTCTATTTCCGCTCCCCAAACTTTTTGTGTGCAAAGACCTTCGGACTTTCTTACCTTCATGGGTCCTCAAGTCAACTGAATTATAGGCAGCTGTAGCTGCTTCAAATACCTGCTGATCGCGACCCTCTTGGGCCAGTGTGGTGACTTCATCACCTTTCCAAGGCAACAATTGTACCCCCAAGTGATCGTCAATCATTATGCCCTCATAGTAACCGCTTTCAGGTTTTGGGAGGGGGTGTCTGTAATTCAAGGTTTCTTCTGGGAGAAAGGTGCCCCAACTACGCAACAAATTAACATGACTTTCTTGAGCTATGTCAACCGCGGCATGGTCACCCATTCCTAAACCCTTGAAACAACACACCAATCTGTCACCAGTTGTGATCCGGTTCGCTGCCAGTGCTGCTTGCGCAGCTTTCAAATGTGCCACCTCACCCCACCGAAAACTAGGCCCTACAGGACTACTCCGGGCTCTTTTCTCAGTTGCCACATAAGCATGATAAAAATCTCGGATATCATCAACAGAACAAGCACACACCAAATCACGACCTAAGGGCAACTGAGTCAAAAGCACAGCATGGGGAAGATTTCGGGATTCACCTACCACATGATACTCGCGTCTGTTTCGGCGTTTGCGGTGCAAAATTTGACGGTCCCTATCGACATCTTTAGCGACAGCAAACAACTCACAACGATCCAAAAAATTCACCTCATCAGTTTTGCAAACAAAAAGTCTTTCCAATTGATCCCAACGGGCAAACACCTTCAACAGTTCAGTTCGAGACGCGGTACCCTTTATATGTATTGGGGGAGGCATATCTTCCGGGGTCTTTAACAAGGTATCAGGGTCTTCAAAAATAGTGCGACATTTCTCACTCAAGTACGGCCTTGGGTCAAAATTCTCAACTTTGTCAGGCAAACTCAAACGATCTGCGACCACCGGAAGCGCTTTGGTAGCTGCAAAAGCAGCTCCCTGAGAGCTTTCACCAAACTGTCTTTTGTGACGGGCATATGGCAAACTGTCTAAAGCATCTAATTCAGACCTCAACTCACTCAAATGAGTTCCAACTGCTGGTAGCCGGAGGCCGCATCCAGACTCAGAAGTGCCCAGGCGGACCATCGACCTGCTCAGCTTCAAAAGGAAATGAACCATCTCCTCTTGTGCCTGGTTGAGTTTACACTCACGCCTCCCCCGCTCAGGAGCTACTTGCACTCCCAGGGCCTGATGGCTCAAAGCACACACCATCAGGTTCGTCCACAATTCAATGGACCTCCGAAAGCGGAACCTAGCAGCTCTTCGGCGAGAACGTCCTTGAAGAGGACCTTTATCACAACTCCAAGGGAAAGGAGGCGGGCACGGAAAGAGCTCCTTGTCCGAAGCTCGTGGCGGTGGAGTAGCTGCTGGAGTAAAAGTACTCCGCACATAACGCGAAAAAGGCAGTGATGAATCTGTCATTGAATCAATCACATGTTCCAACCATGCTGCAACGGATGCACCCTGGTCAGATGAAAAAGAAAAGCTTTCTCCGGAATGCTCTTGCATGAAATCTTCACGCTTTACTCTGGCTTCTTCTCGTCCTTGGCTTTGCCATCTCCTTTTCCTCCTCCTTTTCCTCTTTTCTTTGGCAACCACTCTTCCTCCTTCAGCTCGTTGATGATGGCTCCAATCCATGTCGCGTCCATCAACCGCGTGTAGATGTATTGTTTTCGGATGGAAGCGAGGTCCTGACTGGCCCAATGGGACCATGGAGGCTCCTCTACGCCTGTCAGGCGACTTGCCACCCCCCAAGACTCGTCCAGCAGGAATTGTTCCATTGCAGATATCATTCTGACACAGTGAAGACGGGCATGTCTCTGCTTCCCTTCCAGCATCAATTTGTGAATGGTAGCAAAGCCGCTCAGTGCATACCCTGCTGTCCGCGAGCGGCCTACAGGCACTGAACGAATGAACTTCTCGGGGATCAACGGGCCCATTTCTTCGGCCCCCACCGCCCGCTGCATGCGAGCTTCCATCCTTTCCAAGTAGGCGCCCGGGTTTTGCTTCATGGCATACCGGAGCTTTTCCACTGCCTCGATGGCTTTTCCTCCGCGACTGGTAGAAGACCAGGTTTCTCCCTCCTCCTCGGAAGAGCTGCCGTTCGTGCCCACCAGGCCCGGAAGTTTCTTGTTCTTCCTGCTGCCTTTTGCTTGCATTTCCTTCATGAGCTTCAGCATGCTGATTTTCATCATGTCGTCGACTGACGGGCCCGAAGAAGACTGGGCCATGTCTGGAACGACCAGGTTGATGCAATCTTGAGCCGTAATCCGAGAGGCTGGCTCGTCTGCAATTCTCTCTGGCCGAGAGCCCACCTCTTCTCGCATGGCTCGCAGAATTTCGGCCATGTCCTTGTCGTTGGGACCGTCGATTTGCGGAGGCGCGGCTTGTGTCTTGGCGGTCGCTTTCCTTTGAGGAGCTGGTGTCTTCACAGTCTGCAGATTTGGGTGCTTTTGAAGCTCCTCCACGCGCTTCTCCAGCTTTGCCAGGACAGCCACCACAGCCTTCAGGTCGGCTTGGGGTGCCGGATTCTCCTCCTCTTCCAAAGCTGTTTGCCAGTCCGCATCTCGGAGGGATCCACTTGTGACCCATTCGTCTACTGCATCGTCCAACTCCGCCATGTCCGGGAGCTGCTGGGCCTCTGCAAAACGCAGGTACGGCCTTCGAGTCCGAGGAGCTTTCCTTTCCAGCTGTTGTCGGATGCCCATTGTGAACTCCAACAACAGCACCTCCACTGCATCCCCTAGGCTCTCTTCTGCTTGGAGAGAAATGGTGACATGAAGGCTGGGTCCCAAAATGTCTTCGGGAGAAGCCTCTTGGCCTTGGCTCAAATCCTCGTCGGGAATTCCGTTCCCCGGTACTGCTAGAATCAAGCCACCCCGACTGACCCGACAAGGCAAAGCTAGCATCCAAACATCCCCCTCCGCAGGCCAGCGAAGAAGCAAGAGGTCGACCTCCTCCAAGTTTTTGTTCACCAACTTGAGGCTCCGGATGGTTTTCTCTGCAATGGGCATGATCTTCAAGCAAAGGTTTTGGCTGGTGGCCCTCAAGCGCTGCCACAATCAAGCGCTCTAAGCCCAGCCTCGACCTTGTCAATGCAGGGCAGCTACTGCAGGCCTGCGGCGACAAAGGTACAGCGCGCAGTGAGGTAAGAAAAGGTGGCGTAGACGCGGTTGAATGAAGGAAAATGTTCTCTGAGAGCGTGGTGCAAGGGTCGCAAAGGGGCTCAGCAATCAAAATGTAAGCAAGGCCAAAAAGCAAACACAGCAAGCTCTTCAAACAACTACTTTCCCTCGGTCTTTGACACCCACACACAGGTGCACGCGTCCGTGCAAACTTGGGCTCTAGCAAAGTGGCCGTGGTGTGGAAATTCAATCCTACTTGCACAGCTTTCTCAGGCACGGTAACGTTGCAATCTATCCTGCCCCGCCAGACCGCCCTCTCTTGGACGAATCTCAGCACCTTCCAGCAGAAAAATTACCAATCGTGACCCTAGCAGCCGCAAGCGGGGGCTCAGAAGGAATCCAATCACGCAACCACCAAAGCAGAATCCCAAACAAAAGCAAGTGATAGCTAAAAGAATCAGCTCGGCCAATCGATATGGGTGATCACACAAGCCGAGCACCGGGCTAACCGCACTCAAAATATCTCTGAGCATCCAAACAGAAAGCTACAGACAACACATGTTGACTGCCCTTCCATGAAAACAATGCCTTTCATGTAAATGTTTACCGGAGGGTAACTCATCAAGTTGAGGGTAACTCTACCTTTTTATGGGATAAAAACAATCTCCATCAATGGGATTAATGATATCCTTATCTTTTAAAAATGCTGATATTGATGACATATCTGATTTTGGCGAATCATTTCTGGCGTCAGCTGGCTGGTGATTTCTATGATTTTCTTCTTTTTCGCTATATGTTAGTTTACTGGAGGCTATCGCTCAAATCATTATGACTTCCAAGAGATTTCCAAATCAACAGCGTATCGCGAAGATCTGGGGATGATTCCGGTGAGGTCGGCCCCATGATATCCCCAGAATATCCTGATATTTTGTTGGCTCAAAACATTACATTCCCAGAAAATGTTTGGTTCACATAATCTCATCCCCATGCAGAAAAATACATTCAAATCATGAAAATGGTTTATATAATCACATATTCCATAGATCATGGTTGGTATAATCATCATATATATATATCCATACATATCACCAATAGATTCATATATCCTCACATGCTATAAATAGATTGACACCTGGCCAAAGCGCGCTTGCGCGCGCCACTTCCGGTTGGCACCAAGTCGCAGCAGGGAGGAAGGCCACGAAGACGCAGAAGACCTGACGCAACAGATCCTGCACCAGTTGAAACTGGTGGTAAACATCCCATTACTTATCTGGTTGGTGGTTGAGCCACCCCTCTGAAAAATATGACTTCGTCAGTTGGGATGATGACATTCCCAACTGAATGGAAAAATATGTTCCAAACCACCAACCAGTTCTGATATGGGCGGTTGATGTTTGATAGGTAATAGGATGTGAGATGTTTTTGGTAACCTTGGATTATGTTGATAGGTGATTTCAACCGTCCTTTCGGTGCCATAATCACATAATATGACATATAGAGGTTTTCTAAGTCATGGGGGTACCCCCAGTTATCATCCATTTATAGATGCGAGTTTCCATGAAATATATCATCCAGCTGTTGGGGATTCCCCATTTATGGAAACCTCCATATGATTGCAATCACTAAAACTGAAAAACAAGCAACAAGCTGCACCTAATATGGACAACAATGGTTGATATTCCCCCCATGGTTTCATATTATGTGCATGGTTGGCAATCACTCAACAATTGGGGAATATGATGCAACATGTACCATCTGGTTATGACTAACCTAGCCATGGAAAATCACAATTTTAAATAGGTAAACACATGGGCCATTTTCGATTTTTCCATGGCTATGTTAAATAACCAGAGGGTAACTATGTCAATCATGGCATCAATCAGTCATGATGTGTCTCATCGACGTCCTAGATATCGTCACTGGCCCTATTTTGGGGTTTGATGATGTTGATCGCTGAGGTGCAGGTGCAGATCGGAGTAGTTAATGATTGGAAGATATTGGCAGTTTAAAGCCTGTAAGAAGACCATCCGAAAGCATCCGGAAGCTGTGTGTATATATATATATATACATGTACACATACATTATAATTGGGTATAATTGGTATATATCAGGCAGCATTTCACAGAAGAATTTCTGGCAGGCAATACCCTGACATGATGATATCTCTTACATGCAGATAGGTGGGTTTGTTTGAAAAATCGGGAAGCCCATTCCATCTGGTGAATCATCATGTTCCATTTTGAAACTGGCATAAATTAGAGGTAAGTATATTCCACACATTCAGACACACCCAAATAAATCATATTGCTCTTTGAATCAAATCTATAACATATGCCATAAGATATATTCGATATTATCCTATAAAATATTGATATACAAAAAACACCTTTATTATCCTATAAAATCTCCCCATTTTTCTCCATCTGGATGATCTTTCCGAGCTGCGCTGAGATATCCCAAGCGTTGTTGTGTGTAGCTGGGTCGCTGAATCAAGCTATCCTCATCGCCAACGCCAACGGTGCTCTGGATGGTGAACAAAATGACAAATCTATCCATGGATCGATGTTTTTTGCGACCCCGCCCCCCAAAAAAAACAAATTCTCAAGATGTTTAGAGATGTTGATACTTCGAATTTTCGTTGTTGAATGGTGTTTTTTACGGTTTCTATCCTTTTGGGGGATGCGACAAGCACGGGAAAGTATTGAACCCGGAAAGCCGGTTTTTCCGGTCAGGGAAACACCATCAAAGATCGGATCGGTTTATGTAGATTTTCTTTTATGATTCAAACAATTCTTGGACAAAATACGTGGTGCATAGAAGTTACCAATCATATCGGGTCAAATACAATTCTTCTACAATTAAAAAAACATGACATAGTACCAAATTCTTGCTGGAAGTTTCCTAATCAACTAATTCTGTCAATGGAGCAAAATGCTTATTCTGCTGGCAAATCTTGCAGGGTTCCCCCAGTTTTCGGACAACCGCACGGTTTTTTTCCATCAAAATCCATATCTCCCAGCAACCTCCCCAGTTCTCACAGCCTTTCAACTTCTAGGATCACAGCCTGTCAGTGTTTGTGAAAAAACAGTTGTATGTGAGAGAATCTAATCGGAAACTTGGAACTTGGCGGATCATCAGGATCATCCCACAAATCCTAACTGGTTTATAACCATGATTAAAAACAGTTCTAATGTGGTTAAAACAATAATGATCCACCCCATTTTTGATGGTCTCTACCACCCATTTATGGAGATTTTGGGGATGTTTTAACCACATTACATGGAATAACCCCAGAAATCGGGGGACTTAGCATCAGGATTCTTAACAGCTTACCGTCCCGAGCCGCTTGACACGTCCCAGGTACGTACAGCACATCGTTGACGTCTGGTGCCGCTTGCAGTTGCAACGCGAAGGAGTCGGTGCCAAGCTGTTCACGAGCGGCCTGCAGATCACTTGGAGGTGCTGGGCTGCTTAGGAAGTTTAGTTTACTATAGAAACTAAGAGTAGGTATATCAAATCATCATACATGGTTGATATATATGATATGTATGTAAATTACATATAGTAACTATATATGTAATTATACCATATCATATGATGATATGGATGATATTTAGTCATATCATCATGTATCACCATATCTTTTCGGAAGGTTCAGTTTGGAACCTCTATCATTTTTATCTACCGCAACTGGCTGTTGATGGTGGATTCTGTAATTGGATGGGTGAGACTAAACCAACTGATAAGTGGGGGTTTTCTTTGCCACTTGATTCTGTCTGCAATTGGGCTGGGTTGAAACTCAAAGCAAACAAATCAAACAACATAGAAAACACTACACTATACGGTATAACAATTGAATTGATTTTAGCATGTTTAAACATGAGAATCAAACAAACAACTTGTCTCCAGAAACAGCAAGATGGCGAAATTTTCCTTAAGAAGAGCAGCCTAGAAACGACTATAAGGATTCACCTAAAGCTTCGAGGATTTGTGACCCACCTGTTTTTTTTTTTTCTGGGGTGTGTCAGACATTGGCTTATATAATTTACTTCAAAAGAGAGGATCGCTAGCACAGAAATTGACAAACCAATCTCTGGTTTCCAAGATAAGTGGATATGACTAGGATGACATACTGACATACGTCATTGCAACTTGTATAAATGGTTTTTCAAGACGAAACGTAAAGAACCACCATCTACTATGGATGAAACAAAGATGTTCAAAGGCAAGTTGAGAGTGGCTGTCCGGATCGGTCTGCCAGTGGAGTCTGTGAATTCGACGTCCCAGTTCTATCCAGTTCTCCAGTTCTGGATCGATTCCAAGGGTGTAGAAACCATCCCCAAGTTGGGTATCATCTGATAAACGTTTACAGCTTGTGAGGAAAATTGATGAACATGGCAACATTTCGAAACCCTTGATTTTACCCATGAAAAATGCTGATTGCCGGTGTCGTGTTTTGGATGTTTACCAGGCCCTCGGGCAGCTTCAGCAGCCTTTGCTGCATCTGTTTTCAGACGATGTTCCTTCAGAGCATTCTGGGCCTCCAACAGCAAATCATGCCTTTCTTTTTCAGCCTTCTTTGCCTCTGAGGCAAATTGCTCTTCCTCCATGTTTTTCTTTTTTTCCACCTCCACAGCCGTTTCTGCCAGAGTGCTTTCCTCTGTAGCCACCCAGCTCGCAGCCTCTAAGGCTGCTTCTGTAACAGCATCACCATACTGCCTGCATAGCAACAGCAGTCGCAGCAGATTGTCTTTGCCCCCAGTGAAGCTGCGAAGCAGATCTAGCTGATGATGCTCTTGCCGCACAGGTTGCCGAGGCCCTTTTGTGGCTCCAGTCTTTGCCTTACTTACAGGACAAATTGAAAATTGAGACAAGCGGCTAAGCGCATGTCCAAGCGCGTCTTGAAGGTCACGAAACCGGTAGTGGTGCAAACCTCGACATCGAGCACCACAAAAAACAGACAAGGTGGTGCTTCCCAAATGTGATGTTTGTTGCTTTATAAACCCATTAACCACAGATTCACTGGTCAAGCCTTGGTTAGTGATTAATGACCAAAATGTTTGATAATAAATCTGGTTGGTGGTGCAATAACCATCTTGAAAAATGATGGAGTTCGTCAATGGGAAGGATGACATCCCATATATGAAATGGAACATAAAACATGTTTGAAACATTTTGAAACCACCAACCAGTTGTTGCTTTAAAACAAACAATAACTGTAGTTACATCATGTTACATCCCCCGAATTCAACCCTAGTTCAATCACAACCAACTGAGCTAAGCAAGGGGCACCATCTTGGAGACTTCTCAACATCTTTGGAGGTTTGGGGATGAATCAAACCTGATTCTCTGGTAATCTAACTTGCCGTTTATACAAAAAAAATGGCCACGGAGAATCACATATTACATATTGTACTGTGGTAAATCAGCTGACTTCGGTAATTTTCCGTGGCGGTGTCAAATTACCAAGGGCTACAATATAAATAGTGATGTATCCATGAAAAATTCATTCCCAAGAATTCTGCGAAAAAACAAGCAAATCCTAGTCATTTCCTATTCACATCCATTCCTACAATGTGGGGCCCCCAAGATAGCTAAGTTGGTGCAAATAACTCCAATAACTATGGTTTATGGTACCCAAATAATTACAGTCAAACGACAAACTCATGCCTAACTCATGCCTGGGTCAAAACTTGCTAGTAAATCACCATGGAATCGCTGTTTCAAGAAACTCATGCCTAAGTCATGCCCAAATCTTAAAACAACACGGAATTGCGTATGTATAAGAAGAATGTTTCCACACTTGGGAAAATCAAATGTTCGCAAAAATCCGTCTACAGTTGCGTTCTACCGTTCATGTTTCTGGGGTTGAGAAATACTTGCCGCTTCGGTCCGCTGACTTTTTTTGCTTTGCTGACTCTTTTCGCTTTGCTGCTCTCGGTCCATCAGTGGCTTCGCTCTGCCATCTCCTATAGGTTTCCTATTTTTGAAACCACGACGTGCCGAACGACGTCCGAACGACGTAGCAAACGACGTCAAAAAATAACAAGAAAGGCTCTCTGCCCACCCGCCTGCGGAACCACATGAGAAACTAAAACCGACACGAAGATACAACAATGACCCTTCTCACCTCCATCTCAAGCAACATGCTGAATCACTGAAGTGCCACAATGCCGCGTTGAGCACGCAGTGAAAAGTGAAAATGGCTGCCGCAGCACACTGGAAAGAACAAGATAGAAACACCAACTCATCGCTACACTCACATCCAGTTTGACTTGGTATGGAACAGGTTACTCTTGATGCTAAACACAACCTAAACGCAAAATTTATTAACAATATGGAAAAGGTACTCTTGATGCTAAACACAACCTAAACGCAAGATTTATTAACAATATGGAAAAGGTACCCTTGATGCTAAACACAACCTAAACGCAAGATTTATTAACAAAAACTATTCCAAAGACCAAATCCAACAAAACATTGCAATTCCTATGCGTTTTACTAAAAAGGCACGACTTTTCAAATCAAGTGCTCCCCAGCTATTTACGATGATTTCCAAATTTTAGGCACGACTTTAGCATTCCACTGTATAGTATTCATGGGGTGAATCTAAACCAACTTAGCTATCGAACGAGGGCCCCACATTCCTAGTCATTAACAATCCACGTTGGGTGTGAATAGGAAATGATTATCCACGATGGATGATCGAAAATGGCAAGTCCCACGTGGTGGAGATTTGATGTGGGAAAATCATGAGGATCCTTTGTGAAGCTTTCGCCACATTGTGGGTCTAAAGTATCTCTAAAACAATGCGAAAAAAAACCGACCATGGTTCTGAATTTATTTAGATCTATTTAGTTGATGATGTTCCCCTTCCAACCATTTGTTCTATCTTGCTAAGCCCCCGGTTGAGGTTTATAATAGGTTTATAGTACCCATTTCTGGCAAGATTGATGACTGTTTGTTGTTGGATTAACCAAACTAAACTAGATGATTAAAAACATGAGCAAACAACAATGACTCTTAACCACATCTGGCTCCGGGTCAAACTAGTTGTGCAGTGTTTTGAATAGGAAAACCATGTACAAATCGGGTATTTTCTATTGCCACGTTCAATTACCAGAGGGTAACTGTGGATAGATCCACCATCAACAGCCAGAAACCAACAGTATACCAACAGTTAGCCTCAATAAGTGTGGGGCAGCAACTATCCCATTCTCTCTCCCCTTCATATTCCCATTTCATGGTTGGTTTATACGGCTTCGGTGCAAAACAGGCTGCCTAGTAATTCAGGTTGTTCATCCCTTTGTTACTTTTGTCCCCAGAGAAGATTTGAGGACACAGTAAACATGTGCAACGAATTCGGATGACCCGCCGTCAAGGCGAACCCGCCGACACCAGATGACGGTCCCTGGGTGCTAAACGGTTTTCGTTTCTGTTCTGATTTGACATGATGGAAAGATCCACCATGTTTAATGGGAAAATCCACTATTTCGACTGGGCCATTTTCAATAGCTATTTTGACATGAGGTTGTATGAAACCACACCCAGTAGAAATTCGAATATCCTTGAGATCGTTATCGTTTTCCCAAGAAGCGTCTAATGGCCGCCGTTCTCTGGAAATGGTAAAAGGGGCGCCAGAGCAGGCCTTCTGTTGGGAATGGAAAGGAATGGAAACGAATGCAAACATGTTCAAGAATGGACCATGTCCTTCCAGCAGGAATTTTGGTGAAATCTGTTATCTTTTTGTTATCGTACACTAAATACCAATTATAGTTGATTGATGTTGATTGAATCAGCATTTCAGCCATTAAAACCTGCATTCCTAGGTGATTTCCCCATCTTTTCCCATTGAAACCTCCATTTTTCCTGGAGGTTTCCCCCGCTACGCCGGGTTGTCCAGGAAACGTCCGGATCCAGGGCATGCGATAAGCGGCCCAGGCGAATGCGCTCCGCCGCCACCTCCTCCTGAGGATTATCCCATACTTTCATCATTCATGGGCCAAAAAAAAGCATGTTTGGGGCTTATTCAGGGCTATTAACCACCTACGAATTTTATCCACGAATAGAAAAAAAACATACAAGTCGGACTTGGAATTGCAGGTCCAGTGATATGTGTCATACAATTATAAGCATATAGTTACGGGGGTTTGATCCCAATCTGTGGGGGTTGGGGGTTAACTCACTATGGTGATACCATGCTATACCTATATTGATGGGTAGTTAAAGGATATTAACCACCAATTTGCGGGTCTTACAAAAATCAACTTTACTAGCAGGAGTGAAAAAAAACAAACTGATGGGTGAAAGGACATTTTAGCTACAAAAGTATCATGAAAAACAATAGTCGATCAGCCATACTCCCAGTTTTTAAAAAGTGCAAAGTGTAAAGCGTCGAGTATAAAGTGTGGTGCGTGGACTGTATTGTTTTGTGGACTATAGAGTGTAGCACATAGATTATACAGTGTGGAATGTGGAGAGTAGCCCTCTCCCCAAGGTCCCCCTTCCTTGGACCTCTTGGTGATCCCCATCTCATGGATGCTGCAAGCTACTAAGTGGGCTTATCCTCCAAGTGAAATAGTGTCTTATCACATCCAACTCTAGAGATGTCAGCCGTAAATCCAATCGGTGGGGTGCATAATTTTCAGTGTCCCTGAAAAACCCTGGCAAAGCTTCTCCAAACTTTAGCATAGCAATGCAGTTTGCAGTTTGTGTTATGCTGGTTGGTGGTTTCAACCCCTCTGAAAAATATTAGTCAGTTGGGATTATTATTCCCAATATATGGAAACATAAAAAAGGTTCCAAACCACCAAGCAGTATGTGTTGGAATGTTCATCGACTCAGTTTACGCTGTCCCAGCAGTGACCCGATCGGCTAAATGATGCTAAATGCATTTGGGACACCAAACAATCCGAAACCAACCATTAAAATAGGGTACCTTCAAATCCATTCGTAAATCACCATCTTCTCTATATCAAAACAACTATTTTGTGGACATACATCATTTTCAGACACATCCATTTCTTGATGAAGATATTTCGCACAGGAAGTCTTGTATTTCTTGATGTTTGACTTCTATGACCCCACATCCATACATCCATATATTGATTCAGTGCTTCGCACTATGACGAACTTGACATCCAGTTCATTTGTCGGATATCCTTGATGTCCTTCACCGATTCCAAACGAAACCTCAGGACATTGACCGTGGACCAGGGGAACAACGTCTGCTACAAAACTTGGTGCAACGAAACAACCATCTGGGCAATTTATAGTAACTAGATGTAACTAGCCCACCCAAAATAAGGCAATGCTGGGATGGGTGACCCTTCGTGCACTTCGCAATCTTTGTATTGCTTACAGTGACATTGGTCGTTACATTTACTGTACCCAGAACCGTGACTTAAAACATGGCTTGGAAAGGCAAAAACCAACTCCTTCAGCTGGGACGACACAAAACTCCTTCGGTCAGTGCACAAAGAAAAATATGTAGATTTTGATGGCCTCCCCAGAAACAAATATCAAATATAATACCCTCTGGTAAATTAACATCGACCCTGAAAATCACCAATTTTTAGTGGAAGCTAGTCTTCCAACCCCTGTCTGGCAGGGTCTATGTTAATTTACTGGAGTGTATGTTCTCAAAATCGGGGGTCCTCAAAAAAAAGAAACCCCTAATTCCTATGTTTTATCATCATATCTGTGCAAGAAAATTGCAAGTGTTGAGGTTTTGCCAACTTGAGACAACCCCAAATATCAATAAATATCATAGTTTCAGAGTTCTGCCCGCTGTGGTTGCTTGGTTGGTCATTGGTTCTTTATCCCATTGTATCGCACAAGCACCCATTTCCGCCACGTGTCTGAACCAAGGGAGCGGAGGGTCCACTCTTGCCCTCAGCCTCGCTCCTGGCGCCGCTGCGGTGATTTATCATCAAAAGTAGGGATAGAATGAGCAGAACATTGATGGCAATGTGTCAAAACCTTGTACCCCTGGTGAACATCAAAATAGCTGGTAAATGGATGGATGTTCATTCCCCTAAAAATGGTATTAATAGGTATTGATCCATACCCTGATATCTTGATTCGTCAAAGTGACCTTTTCAACCACCAATTCGAGGTCATTTAACCACATCGAAGAAAGGGTTATTTTTAAGAACCTGGATATATCTGGATATCATCACTACCAAAAAAGGATAAACAATGACTATAGTGGGGGTGTAATGGGATATACTGGATTTTAATGGGATATCAACCAAAGAGTTATAGACCCTACTTTGTGAATCGGGAGGTATCCCCAAAATAGTGTGAGTTCATCTGCTACTAAAATGGTACCCCACCCAACAAAACTACTTCGGGGGTGACTGATCTAGAGCTGACATTAGACGCAATCAGAAGAAGGAAGACGCGGAGGGACATGGGAGCAAGACACGGTAGGTCATCGTCATCATCGTCACCATCGTCATCATCGTCATCATCGTAATCGTCATCATCAGCGTCATCATCATCCTCACAGAGAACATAACCACGGCATGCAACCGAAAGCGTCATCAGGACAGAGAGATATAACACCGAATGGAGGTACTGTAACATCTCTGTACAGTGTGGATGCAGTAGCCATGCCCCTGATGGGGTTTCTCCGTATGTTCACCAGTGGAAAAGCCTCCAAAGCATGAAACACGTTATAAAGGACATCTTGCCCATTGTCAGATCCAGTCAGAACTATCACCCATCAACCACTAACCGCAAGTTCACAATGCGAAATATCTTATCAATATGAAATGAATAAACATTCAAATCAGTTGTATACATATTCACATATATTCATTCGTTTAAGAATCTACATGTAATCAAATTTTCTTCATCCTAGCGAAATATTCATGTCTAAAACTCCACATTCCCAATTTCAATTTCCCCCACTTCCAAGTTTCGCCCGTGCCTGGCTCGAGCTTTCTCCAAGGCCCTTTGAGCTTTCCGCAGCCTCGGATTTCGATCTCCGGGATTCCCCCGAAAGCCATCCGGAAACATGGTGATGTAAGCAACAAACATGAGCATTAATGGTTATTATATGGTTCATGATGGTTAAGTTCGTCACTTGGGATCATTATGGATCAGGACATTCATGGTTAATAACCCCTCTTGATGGTTAATAACCGAAAATTTCAGACAAAACCATATTCTGGTTGGTGGTATACCTACCCCTCTGAAAAATGATGGACTTCGTCAGTTGGGATGATGACATTCCCAACATCATGAGAAAAATAATCCAGCCATGTTCCAGTCACCACCAACCAGATGGCATTTATCATTAAAAATGGGATCTAGAATGATCTATATTATATTATATTATTATATTCATATCTAGCGTTATCTAGCTGCATCTAGTGATAGATCACTTGACGCACATAACTTGGCTAACATAGCTGGCGGCCGTGGCCTTGACGGTACTAAAAAATGCATCTGGTAATCTGGGGCAATCATGGTATATATATATAATGTGTTGTTGATTACTAATAGTAGTTTGGGATATAAATTACTACATATATATAAAATTATATATAATTATATATATATATATTTGCCAACATTATTTCGATGGGATATAACTCAACATCAAATAATCAACAACAATGGAGTTTCATATGATTTGCTGGGCTTCAATCCCATAGGGATGGGGATCCATAAAACCCAGTGACTGATAGGACACCATGGCCGGAGGTTTCCTGAAAATGGGGGTACCCAATAGCTGGATGCTTTTCCGGGAAAATTCCCAACAAAAATAGATGATTTGGAGGTACCCCCATGACGAAACGGAAACCTCCATATGTTCTCAACCATCGAATTGGGGTTTCCCAGCACAATTTTCAGACAAAACCATATTTGATGATCAAAGTTCAAGCTTCTAAATGCAATCATGGTGAAGTACCTAGGGTAAACTAACTGTTATCGATGTGGAAAACAACCTAAACAACACCATCTTTGAATAAATCGATCATGTTCCCGGGATTTTCCACATCGAAGTGTTACCCCAGGGTAAAGCAACTACCATCTGGTTATTTGCTTTACCCATGGGAAATGGCCCATAGTAATAGATGGTTTACCTATTGAAAATGGTGATTTTCCATAGTAATCACCATTTTCCCCAAAGGATGTCCACTCAGTTGCTTTACCCATCCTTTCAGACATCATCGCAATGAAGACATCCCGCCTCTCCAATTTCTTCTGCAGGAGCTTTGTATTGCGCACCACGTAGCCTCACAGTGGGGAGAACTCCACTTTACTAATGTTGTATCCTGATTAGTACCCTCTGGCAATTCAACATAGCTATTGAAAATACCTCATTTATAATTGATTTACTTATTCAAAATGGGGATTTCTATAGCTATGTTAGTTTACCAGAGTGTAGCTAGGTTCGCTATTGTGCCAAACATTTTCCAACAAAAAATCCAACTTATTCTGAATCAGGACGAAACATTCGCGGAGATGAACCATTTGAATGGCGCATCAAATAATCATCAATCCAAGCCTTGAGGTCACTCAAATCCGCTGAGAGTCCTTTCCATTCAATCCGTCAAAAAAATATTGGTCCTTTCCAAGCCATGAATACCGCATTCACAGGGAAAGAATACACATCAAATCATCAAAATCAACATATGTTCATATGTTTCTGCTGCAAACGATGCCACACTAAACTCATTAAACTATCACACTGCAAATGTTGTTCACCACGGCTAACCTTAAATACCTTGCAAAACATGTATTTTAGCAGAATATTGTACTCCTCCATCTGTTGCCAAGTCTTGAAAAAACATGTTGTACTTGCAAAAGGGCTAGTCATAAAGCAAGGTTCCCGTTCATTCCCTGATTTAGTTCTCATATGTGTTCGTTCTTTTTTACCCAGGAAATATATGTGTCATCAATGTTCACGCTGCTTCATTATGTTTTATTCATTTGTGCATGGTTTGGGCAGTTACCTAGTCCTAAGTGTCGAACCATTTACCAACAATCCAACTTGTTCAAAGGATTGCAGAACAAATAACACATCCGAATCATTCGAATCAACATCCAGAGACATCACAACAAAAATCCGGGAAAGAGAATCAACACATATTCAACGCACAGAAACCAGCAACATCTTCAAGACATGCAACCAGTCCCCACCATTGAGTCACCACACTTCGCGCCACGGCGTTCTCCCCAAAGAGGTTGGCAAAATACGAGTGCAGGCCTTGGGTTCTTTATCGTAGTTCCAAAGGCTGATATCCATGTTGAGTTTTACCAATGAAAACTGAGATGTAAGCAGGTAATATCTTATATGATAGAACATTGTAAATAATTTGATTACAAACATATAGAAAAATAACAACACAATTCTTATGATTAAAATTATCCCAATAGTATATTATGATACCACCCACCAATTAAAATTATTGTAGGCAGGTGATTCAACCAACAATAACATTCATATATTTCTCATATATCTCCAATAGAAATGAACTCGGGCTTAGCTTAAACATCTGAGAACATCAATCCAATGAACATCTGAGATTCACCGATAGAACTTGGGATTTAAGCAACAAATTCTCCGCAAAACTTTCCAGGAAATCTGCTCCACGGGATGCTTAGCACGAAATCTACTCCTCCATAAGCAAAAATCCCTCCATTCACGGACTCATCAAAATGTGAAAATCCAGTGGCTTGCTATAGGATGGTGCCCCCAAGTGATGTTTTGGAGTTGCTTTCCAAAAGCCTTTAATCTCTACCACTGTCACCATAGTTTTCAGTATAGTTAAGTAACTTTTTTTCACCAACTTAGCCAACAAGTGGGGGCCCCATCCATAGATCTAAACATTCACATGCTGAGGTACCCTCCTAGATATGCCGATGCCGTCAAGCGGCGCAGGTCTGAACACATCGTCTCGGGAATGCCTTCGACCTTGGGGCATCTGAACATGTCGAAAATCCGCTAGAAATAGGGATCTAATGTCAACTCTGGATTAATAAACCCCCAAACAGCTGTTTACTTGGGAGGGTACCATGTCAGTATTAGATTATGACTATTGGAGGAGTACCCCCTAATTAATAAACCATGGTTTATTAATCCGGGGTTGACATTAGTGGTGATATGAGACATGGTTTATTTGGGTGTGTCCGAAAAAGAGTACATGCCGTTCATTGGAAAATTATGATTCTGAAAATTTGGTTTATCCCTATATGCAGACAAAACCCACATGGGGCAGGATCGTTGTTTGGGAACGTCAGCGAACACTGCATCCCCATCCTTCGAAGAAGAAAGATGAGACATGATGGGACCCCAAACATATGGACATTGTAATGCTCTTGACTGTTTTTTTGTTTGCTGATGCAATTGGGATTATTTATGGAGATAATTCTCTCTCTCTCTCTACATATATATATATATGGCTATTAATTCCATATAATTAAGAAAACCACAACTATGGTTACCCTCTGGTAAACTAACATAGCCATGGACAATCACCATTTTTAATGGGAAAACTCACTATAAATGGCCATTTTCAATAGCTATGTTAAATTACCAGAGGGTATATGTCCAAAACCACAAAACCTGAACCGTTCGTGGAACTGCACCCCAAGTCAAGTGCTTGTCCCGACTTGAGCGGAGGGCTGACCGGCTGATCTATAGCCATCTGAAACAAACTAACCTGGATCACTCCTCAATCAGGAGTCTTTTTCTATTTCTCCGTATATTATATATATATATATAATTACTATCAATTATTGTTATGGACATGTAATGACACAAAAAACATCACTTTTTTGGGGGGCCGTTCTCAACATTAATCCACCAGTTCTATGTTCATGTGATGTTTTAATCATTCAACCCCCCAGTAAAAACGTCGACTAGTAACCCCAGGGGATCCCGTCTGGGGTCTGGGGATGTTGCCTTAATACTAGTGGGTAAGGGCGAAAATGTTCCGAACCATCCCATCGTTTATCTGGTTGGTGGTTGAGCCACCCCTCTGAAAAATATGAAAGTCAGTTGGCATGACGAAATTCCCAATATATGGAACAATAATCCAAATGTTCCAAACCACCAATCAGTTTCATCATTTCATCATATTCTGTTCACATGTTGTGAAGAAACACACATCCACCTCCCGGATCACCCATGAAAACACAACTTTTTTGGGGTCACAAGTCAGTAACACCCGCAGCTCTAATACAACCTGATGTATGTTCTAAATTCAGTATAACAACAAAGACCCAATTCTACTAGAACTATTTTAACATATTAGAACTGTTTTGATATTGAGTATAAGCCAATAAACCCAGTGTAAAAACCCAATTCTAAAATTGGGTATAAGCCAGCTATGAAACGCTTGCAGCTACCTTCATGGCCCGGTTCTGACGCCCTGGGTTGGGTCTCCGGACCAGCACCGTGGTGCACTGTGGAAAGGCCATGCGCTGCAGCCAGCGGTAGCGCACCGGGACGAAATCGCGCATGGCGGCTTGGAGGGTGCCTGATCCACAAGGCGCTCCACGACTTCACAGTTGTGTTTCTTGGGTAAACCCAGGGAAATCCAACTTAGCTAACTTAAGTGATGCTATAATAATGTGCTATATACACTTTTTGCATTTTTTTGTTGGGAAACCCAGGTTGCGGGTTACAGTTACAGTATAAACCCAGCTTATCCCAGTTTTCTGTTTATGGTGCAAAAACGTGCTTACCACAAAGCCTAGTTATGTAAGCTATAAGCCAGCTTAGCTACAACTTGTAACTATGACTCACCAGAGACAAAGTGTTGCCCAAGTTTGTTTGCGAAGTTGGTTAAAAGAAGTCGGCTAGAGTTTTGGGGTTTATAAACCAACATACAATAACTAGGCAACACTACCTTGCAACGACCGTTGGTCCTTAGTTCTTCGGGGCTTGTTATTTATACAGTTTGCAATTACCATCTGGTTATTTAACATGGCCATGGAAAATCACCATTTTTAATAGGTAAACCATCTATAATAAATGGGCCACATAGCCATGGAAAATCCCTTATAAATGGAGGTTTCAATGGGAAAATTCATTACAAATGGGCCATTATCCATGGCTATGTTAAATAACCAGAGGGTACTGGCAAGTTACATCCACCCTTGTGTTATTTACCGATTCACCTCTCCGCCGCAACACCGTTGTGACAAAATACCCGTTAAACCCGTTGCAGAGGTTGACAGTCGGCTCTCTGGTTGACGGGTTCATTGAGCACCATCAATATCATGATTATAGTAGTGGGTCATTAATAAACTATAATAAACTGATATCTATATCATGACAGTGGTATATCATCTCATATAATCTGTGGGTTATTTCATGTTTACAAAACTGACGCGGCATCTCTGGGAACCTCACGACACTGCGAAGTTGGGGATCTAAACTGCCATGAGGATCTTTACAAAACGATGTTCCCCAAGTTTTCGATCTTTCTTGAAACGCAGAAAAACCTGGCTGGGCAACAGATTTTAGATTGGGATGTGAATTCAGAGAGTACCATCTGGTTATTTAACATAGCCATGGAACATAACCATTTTATAGCTAGGTAAACCATCTATAAATGGGCCATTTCCCATGGCTATGTTAGTCATAACCAGAGGGTAATCCCCTGATTTCTGAAGGCCCGAGATATAGAACTCACTGCTGCCAAAGAGCGGGTGGTAAGAACAGTCACCGCCCAAACGACGCCCACGTGAATCCACAACACCTCAATCGTCGTCACAGATCGTCACGTCGTCATGGTGGTAGGGCGGGGTAGGTATTTACCCAAACCTGATTCTCCATATCTGGAATATATAACTGGTTGGTTGATGTGGAATACTTACACAACAGCTGCGGCGACTTCCTACAAACGACCAACAGCAACTTCAATTCTGGATGGAAGAAGACGGATGGCCACCTTCCGGGTCTGGCATGATGAATCCAACCAGCAGTAGCATTGCCTCGCAATGTTGCTCCCATAAACCCCCCGAATCGGGGTGTCCATACAGGGCAATCCGGAGCAGCACTACCGGCCGGGCCGGTATTTGCCTCGCCATTCCTTTGGCCAGCGGTCAGGAGGTAACTCGACCCATGTTTCGACACCATGAGAGCCTGGGTGTAGGCCTGGACCCCGTCGTTTTGCTGGGTTCTGTGACCAGGCTGGGCCCCGCGTCAGCGGCCTTAGTAAGGCCTCCATTGTCGCCGGTGAGGATCCGAGCTCTGAGAACAATGCTACATCTGAGTTCTCATCTCTAACATTATTCTCCTGGAATACGGTCCTCCCCTTAAACTTACGGAGTTTATCCCCTTCTGGCAACTCACTACCCTTAGCTGTTTTGAGTTGTCTTCATCCAAATCAGCTCAAAGGGGTTGCACCTTCGGCAATACAAGCTGCGCAGCAACGTCTTCAGACTGCCTTGCAGGACTGGCTGCCCAGAAAAATATAAACTGGCCAAAATTCACATCAGCCTACGCTCATGCCGACATTTGTTTGAAACCAGAAGTTTTCAGCTCACGACAAGCGACGTGCTGAACCACGTGAAACATTGCGGTAGATGAAAGTGCTAACAACCACCGAATTCAACACATTGGCCAGGTCAAACAAAAAAAACGCGAGTGTATTGACAAATCGCGAGGCAAAACATTAGAAGGAATAAAACCAAGAGTCTATTCCAAGACAGCCAAGTAAGATCAAACATTTAAACAAAGCACATGATATGGGCAATAGGACTCAGAATAAAATATTGGTTCAATTCCTCCAATTTAATCCTTTTCATTCCATGCACCCTTGTCATAATCACTATATAAGTACAATGTGGGGCCCCCAAACGTTCCAAGTTGGTTTATAACCCCATCTAAACATATATTTACAAGTATTATTATACACTATCGTTAGTATAGTTACATTGCCCAACTCAGCTAACGAACTGGGGTCCCATCCTGTACCCAATTTAAACAACACATCATAGCAAGCCATCTTACTTGGTGTTTCATCCAACCGGCCAGGGCTATCGCCTGAACGATGTTAAAGGTCGTCCCTCTATAGGTGCTGAAGAACAGGATTTCCATCTTGGATTTCCATCTTGGATTATCCGTTCCTTTTCAATATCAAAAAGGGTAATATGACCCGCACTGTAATCATCAACCACCATCTAACGATCATTTATCAATGATGTATTTCCATTTTTAATGGTGAAACCAGTTAAAACCCAAACGTAGATCCATTTAGATGATATTGGATGATGCTTCAATCCCATTTACCCTCCGGTAAACTAACATAACCATGGAACATCACCATTTTTTAATGGGTAATTCCATGAACTACATGGGCCATGGCTTTAATAGCTATGTAAACATTTACCAGAGGGTATATTTTATTAAGTGGATTATAATCCCAATTAAACCCCATTAAATCCCATTAAACCCCATTAAATGCCATTAAACCCCATTAAATCCCATTAAACCCCATTAAACCCCATTAAATTCCATCAAATCCCAATTAAATCCCAATTAAATCACAATTAAATCCCTCTAAACTTCTCGGTCTTCACTGGCTGAATCTGCCATCATAAGCCTCATCATCCACCCCGTCCCAGGCGTCCCAGGCGTCCCAGGCGTCCCAGGCGTCCCAGGCGCGACGGGTCGGTTCTCATTCACCGCCAGGTTCAAGCGCGAAAAGACTTCGTCGCTGGGTCCGCTGGCCGTCCAGTGCAGGGGACACAGGATCACCTCAGGGCGTCCCAACCGAAGATGGGGTACTTCGCCAATGGGGTACCCGGGTACCCGTCTTCGCCATGGCGCAAATCATCTGTATAACTATGGCCTAGAAAAAAACCATGGCTTCCAGTTCGCGATTCGCTAAATAACCAGAGGGTAATGATATCTGATACCCGGCCTGGTAAACGGTTACAGTTTGCGAACTGGAAAATCATCATCTTTAATAGGTAAAACAACGAACTTTCTATGGGCCATGTGAAAAATAGCTACGTTAAATTACCAGAGGGTAGAACAAGCCAGGACCAACACATGGGCTTTTGAGCAAGAAAAATGAGAAATGTAGAAGAATCAAGTGGGGTAATGGGACTGAATTTGAGTGTACAATCTATAGAATAACTTGGGCGTTACCCCCGAACTAAAACAGTCTCCTGGAGATTTCCACAGCATTCCATAACAAGAACGGTTTTGGGATACATGAGATATTAGTTTATGACATTCCCCTGTTTTTGGTCAAGTACACCCCAGAAGCCCTGGTTTAGTTCTAGATCTGTTCATTTTTTTGGGGCCCCAGATTGTTGAATAAAAGAGGGGCAGAAGGATTTTTTGAAGCCGCGCGGTCTCTAGAACTGGATCACAATCTTCCAGCCGAAGGACCATGTTTCATAAATAGTGACCATGTGGCACCCCCCACAATGATTGCACAAATTCCATCTCCGGACATCCGTAAAACAATTGCTTCCGGTCATCGAAACATAGCAATTTGCCCTCGATATGTCCAGGCCACGAAACTTCATCGAAGCTGAAAAACCGTCGATTTTTGCTCGGGGATTGATTTTGGCTGTTTCCACTGTGGATTTCATAAAATCCACCCAAATGTTGAAGTGAAAAGGAATGGTATCAAATGAAGAAAATGCTATCAACTTTTCGATGTGTCTGAACATAGCCTACACATAGCCTACATGAAGACGAAAAGCAGAAGGTGACCTCTCAAAGGTGGCCCAACCTTACGGGATGGTTCCCCCCAGTGATAAATGGGTTACAATCCCATTAACTATAGACATATCACTTATATCACCAACAAAAACCATAGTTATTAGACTTATAAACCAACTTAGCTAACTATGGGGCACCATCTTGTAGAATACTGTGGAAATAACATCCAGTCTGATCAAGGCTTCTAGTGGATATATACAGTATCGACATTCTTGAACTGAAGTTGAGATTCAGAAGATTCAGAAGTGTAGAATAAAGTTCAACAAGTAAACTTATAAGTACATGGCAGTGTGTCAAAACCTTGTACCCCTGTAGTTCACATCAAAATAGCTGGGATTTATGGATGTTCATCCCCCTAAAAATGGTATTTTCATAGGTATTGATCCATACCCACATAGTTCTGAATGTGAATAAAGTGTCGTAAAGTTCCCCATCCATTGAAAGCTCCATAACTTGGGCCTTGGATTCCTTGGATCCCTTGGAATCCTTGGATGGGCTGACCTCAGATTTAGCAATGTCCTGATGGAATATATTTACCATCTGGTTATGAAAAACATAGCTATTTCGAAGATCCAAAAAAATAAATGGAGCTTTATAGCGGGAAGAAAATCATCTGTTTAACTATGGCCTAGAAAAAAACCATGGCTTCCAGTTCGCGATTTGCTAAATAACCAGAGGGGAATGATATCTGATACCCTCTGGTAAACTAACATAGCTATGGAAAATCATCATCTTTAATAGGTCGGTAAAACATGTAAAACAACTACATGGGCCATGTGAAAAATAGCTACGCTAAATTACCAGAGGGTAGTATCTTGCTAGAAAAAACCAACTTCAAGGATCAAATCCTGCAGATTTTCTAAATTTCCTCCACTGGTCCATGGCCCAACGAGATTTTAAAAAAACGAGTCGCTGGGACGACTGCCAGGTAGGCGATCATCCTCAAAGCTAGCCTCAGGATGCGAGTGTCGATACGTGACATGATATCTTCAGCTTCCATGTTTTGAGGATTTCACGTGAATTTTTATCAAGTTTCCATCCCACGCGGTCCATGTTTTGTATACACCATGGCAATTTTTTCAGCGCTTTTTGATGATTGAATCCAGTATGTTCATCATCAAAGAGGTTTTTTCAGAATTTTTTTGGTGGTTTCACATTGCCAAACACTACTTCCAGGTCGGCACATGATGGCTGGTTGGTGGTTTTTCGCCACCCCTCTGAAAAATGATGACTTCGAATCGTCAGTTGGGATCATGATTCATTCCCAACTTTTTATGGAAAGTCATAAACCAGCCATGTTCCAAACCACCAACCAGGATATATTCATGGTCCCTGTGGTTTCACATTGCATATGCATATGATGTGCTATACCAGTGGATATCACTTGGTGATACGAATGATGAACAGCTATGAGTCCAGGGGCCCTTTTTCATTCATACACCGAGGAACCACTGGAATTGCAGATGCATCCAGGAATCCAGACCTGCGGTGGAAACTCAGAAATGTCATGCGTCGACTTTAAGGAACAACCACATGATGGTTAATGATGGTTTATGACACTTATAACTATAGTATTCATGGGGTTTATGAACCAATTTATAGTTGAAATATGAAACTGTGACATGGACTGGTTGGTGGTGCAATAACCATCTTGACATGGTTAATACTGGTTAATATTAATGGTTTTTATATGGTTAATGATGGTTAATAACTATATAACTGGTTGGTGGTGCAATAACCATCTTGAAAAATGATGGAGTTCGTCAATGGGAAGGATTATAATTATCTCATATATGAAATGGAAAATAAAACATGTGTGAAACCACCAACCAGGAAATATGAAACAAGTGGCCATTCTCACTGTTTTTTCAGCCACGTCACTTGTAGGACAGCTAGTTTTGGAAACCCATTGTTCAGGTCATTGAGTCATGAGCCAACAAAAAAGGGCCTTTTATCCAGGAATCTACCCTCCTTGCTGGTTGCCTTGAACTTCCAGAACATGGTCCTCTTTCAAGAAGCAGGCCTTGGGCAGGACATCATCTCCAAATCCCCATGAAGCATGTTGCATCAGCCAGTTGCTATATCCCAACTTCTTTCGTGGCTCGTGAACCACGGTTTCAATCTTTAACCCCCTGGAAAAACCCCTGAAACAAAATGCCCATATTGTTCAAAACTTTCAGTTTTCAGGCACCTTTCCGGCAGGAGTATATGATTGATCCATTCCCCCTAAGCTGAAATAACAACCCTCAGCAAAATTCTGGTTTGGTATTGGATCTGCATGAATTTGGATCCCTAACATTGTGGGTACAACAGATTTCACCGAAAAATAGGATTGAGATGGATTCGGTCTTTCAGAGATTGTTATTGAAAAAATACAACACACTCAGCATTTTGGAAGAATTTGGACAACTTTTTGCTGATCCAGTGTGACCTTTTGGATGCCATCCATCCTTTTGGGCTGTTCCAAAACCGGGTTCAACGCTTTGCTGAACATCTGGGATTTCATCCATGACTTCGGAAGTATATCGCAAACTCTGAATTCAAAAAATCTATTCAGGCACCATTGTTTGAGCCAATGTCAAGCGATTTTTCTAGTGACTAGTATTGACTAGCAACATCTAGTAACCTATATGTGCTTACTACTGTGCTGCCATTTTTGTACCATATGTGATATTAACTTTTGGAGGGGACACTGGGACACCCCCTAATTCATCAACAGAAGTCACTCGGTTCAAAATGGTCAACATGAAGATGGTTATGTCACCCATCTTTGTTTGCTAGTGACTGGGATCCCCATTCACAGAATCATATCGGCTATCCCCGTTATACCCCAGAGTCAATCCTCATTTTGCTGTACTCCCATGAGTAAATCATTGGTCTGGTCCTTGTCAACATCATCTTACATTTGCATACAAGAAAACAAACAAAAATGATCCCAGTGATATTCCAATTTACGCCATCATTTGAGCCTTATACCCTTTTTTCTTGGTACAAATCCCGCTACGTTCTGGCTCGTTTAGATGGCGGTTCCCGTGGTAGTAATAGTAAGAACCCCACATCAATACATATATGTAACTGATATAAGTCCTACTACAATCTACCACTTCTTGATATTTTGGGCAGTGCTTTTGCTCATTTGTAAATTGATCAGAATTAGTATCCCCATATTTTACCGTTTATCCTAGCAAATTCCCAGTTTTAGTCCTCAGTTTGCTACACTCCCATAATTCATTGGACATATCATTGGTGGTAATTATCCCCTCAATATAGCTATAGTTAGAAACGATGTATCTGGCTGACTTATGATAATTCCCAAAAATCGCTGAACAGTTCGGGCATTTAGGGATGATTCCCCCAACCCAATTCCCATAATTCCAGTGACGTCGACGTCAATGCCTCAGGTCGTCATACATACCCTCTGGTAAATTAACATACGAGTAGCTGTTGAAAATGGCCCAGTCGAAATAGTTGATTTACCCATTAATACCATGGTGATGTTCCATCGTTTTTTGTATGTAAAAACCAGGCCGGGTATCACATCCCAAATGCATAACCCGGAAAATTGCCCATACCTGGAGGATCACCCCAGGGCTAGTAACTGGTTAGTAACTGGTTAGTTACGCATTGATAAACCACTTAGAGGACTTACGATCACCAGGGTTTTTTTCACCACTTACTCAGTGGGATGATCCAAGTATCGGTGTTTTGTCATAAAAAATACCCCTATCCTATTCCATTCTGGTTGGTTCATGTTTATCCTTATTATGGGTAGTAATGAACCCCAGTAACCCAGATAGTATAACCTCCTTCAAAAATCAATCAACAGTGCTATCTTTAATCCACCCCGTGAAATTACCTAAACCAATATCAATCAGTTACGGTAGTAGAACCTCCTTATGCTCCACATCTCAACACAACAACTTTGAGGGTGAAGGGGGCTGGCTCGTTGACGATCAAAACTTGCAAGGTCACGGAGTTGCAGCTGTTGTCTTAAGGCGCCAATGCTGCTAGCCGAGGACGAGAGAACACAATTCCGTGTTCATCCAGTAGTCGAAAGTTGCTAATGCCCCATTGGTGACATAGTCGTCCAAAAGGCTCTTCATGCAGCCAAGGCTGTCCTGCGCGCACGTACTTGCAATCATATGGATTCATACTGATTCATATGGTACAACCTCCTTGAATACAAGTGCAGTTACAATTTCAAACCGATATATATATACAAACACATAACCATATGTATAGTTATTGTATGTTTATCCCAACTTATGGTTTTTTCAATCATGGTTAGACATGCTTAGACCCATTTTTTTGGTGTTTAATGTGCCACCTTCATTTTTGCTTCGTCCACCTCCGACGACGTCGTCCAAGTTGCAAGACTCAGCTGATGCCACAGTGATGTCACGTCCTGGAGCGTATGACGAAGCACCATGGAGATCCAAGTTTGGTTAAAAGAAATCTGAAAAGGACCGAATATGTGGGAACATGTTGATAGTAATTTATACTGTCATATTTTTGGACCACCGGTATTTTGTGTGTCTGCTATCATTACCCTGGCGAATCACCATCTTCTATAAGTAAATCATCATAAATCGTCTATAAATGCAGAATTCTCGAGAAGTATGTTAAAACACCAGAGGTCCATGTTAAGAAACTAAATAAATGTACCAGTAGTGCCGCACGAGGCGGTGGCAAAGTTTCAAAGATAGGACGCTATAGAGAGGTGAGTTGTTGTGACGCATAGATGGCAGAGCGAATCCACTGATGGACCGCAACGTGGTTGGAGTTGCGCTTTTTGGAGTGGTTGCAATGGTTGCAGTGGTCACCTCATCCACAACTGCTGGATGTAGTGTGGTGTAGTGCGGCTGTAGTTGTAGTGGAGTTGTAGTTGTAGTGTAGTGTAATTAGTGCAATTTAGTTGTAGTTGCAGATGTAGTTGTGGTGTGGTGTAATGGGTGTAGTGTAATGTAATGTAGTGTAGTGTTGTGTAGTGTAGCCTAGTGTAGTGTAGCTGTAGCTGTAGCTGTAGCTGTAGTTGTAGTTAGTGTAGTGTAGCGTAGCGTATTCTAGTGGAATTAGTGTGTGTAGTGGAATTAGTGTAGTGTAGTGTAATGTAGTGGTAGTTGTAGTTGTATTTCTAGTTGTATTGTAGTGTGATAAGTGTAGCGTAGTGTAGTGTAATTAGTGTAGCGTAGTGTTGTGTAATGTAGCGTGGTTGTAGTTGTAGTTGTAGTTGTAGTTGTAGCTGCAGCCTAGTGTAGTGTAGTGTAATGTAATTAGTGTAGCGTAGTGTTGTGTAATGTAGTGTGGTTGTAGTTGTAGTTGTAGTTGCAGCCTAGTGTAGTGTAGTGTAATGTAATTAGTGTAGCGTAGTGTTGTGTAATGTAGTGCAGTTGTGCTTGTAGTGCAGCGTGTAGCTGTAGTAGTAATAGTAGTTGTAGTTGTAGTTTTGTACTGCACTGTAATTAGTGTAGTGTAGTGTAATTAGCGTAGTGTATTGTAATTGGTATAGTGTAGTGTAATTAGCGTACTGTAGTGTCGCATATTTGCATTTGTATTTGTTTTAGTTGTAGCTGCAGTTCTAGTTGTTGACTTATTCATCTATCTAGCTATCTAGCTATCTAGCTATCTAGCTATCTAGCTATCTAGCTATCTAGCTATCTAGCTATCTATCTATCTATCTATCTATCTTTATCTATCTATCTACCTACCTACTTATCTATCCATCCATCCATCCATCTATCTATCTATCGACCTGTCTATCTGCAAGTTTGAAAATACCTATCAATCTGTCTATCTGCAAGTTTGAAAACGAAGCAATTCTGCGAGACTTCCTCAACTTTTGAACTTGATCACATCAAAAAGGAAGCAATTCTGCAAGACTTCCTCAGTTTTGGAAAACGAAGCACTTCTGCGAGACGTCCTTAGTTTTTGAAGTTGGCAACACCAAAAACGAAGCAACCCTGCGAGACTTCCTTCAATAATGGAAAGCTGCGTGCAGAGCTGATGGCCTGTCTCTAAAGTTTTGTGCCTGCCACGAAAAAGTGAGGCCAGGTCACACAAAATCATCTTCCCAAAACTGAAGATCTGATGCTCCAAAAATCCCTACAAGTTAGCTGGGGGCCCACGGCCCACCCCCTCCCACCCTCGTACATTTCCAAGTCACCAATGGAGGCTGGTTCGATGTGCACCAACATGACATGTTCAAATCCAAAAGCAACATCGCTGTTTATATAATAGAATTCATCACAAGGTTTCCGTTTGAAGTTGTTGGATTTTTTTGTGGCTCAACTGTTGCAGCAATGCGTGAAATCCAATCCGTAAAATCACCGCTGGATACCAAAAAATCTTGGGATGTGACACGCATAGTATCTTTTTTCAACACTTCAAAATTGCTCACCTGGTAGATCGCATCTGTGTGTGCGCCAACATGTTGAGACACATGTGAGCTCCAGGCTGTTCCCAATCGATCTGCGGCCGCAAATTTGACACCGTGATTGATTCACAGTCCTCCTTCTCCAAGTTTCTGCAGCTTTGTTTCATCCAAGCCCGAGTCGTCCTGTTGCAAGATCACCGAGGATTTGCTGGTGTTGAGGTTCAAGGAGCCATCCCGGTACTGTGACTTGACGCCAGTGATCACAACCACCTGGCCTTCAAGTTTGGCAATCTGTTGCACAAGACCATCTTGTAATTAGCGTAGTGTAGTGTAATTGGTATAGTGTAATGTAATTAGCGTACTGTAGTGTCGCATATTTGCATTTGTATTTGATTTAGTTGTAGCTGCAGATCTAGTTGTTGACTTATTCATCTATCTAGCTATCTAGCTATCTAGCTATCTAGCTATCTAGCTATCTAGCTATCTAGCTATCTATCTATCTATCTACCTACCTACCTACTTATCTATCCATCCATCCATCCATCTATCTATCTATCTATCGACCTGTCTATCTGCAAGTTTGAAAATACCTATCAATCTGTCTATCTGCAAGTTTGAAAACGAAGCAATTCTGCGAGACTTCCTCAACTTTTGAACTTGATCACATCAAAAAGGAAGCAATTCTGCAAGACTTTCTCAGTTTCTGAAAACGAAGCAATTCTGCGAGGCGTCCTTAGTTTTTGAAGTTGGCAACACCAAAAACGAAGCAACCCTGCGAGACTTCCTTCAATAATGGAAAGCTGCGTGCAGAGCTGATGGCCTGTCTCTAAAGTTTTGTGCCTGCCACGAAAAAGTGAGGCCAGGTCACACAAAATCATCTTCCCAAAACTGAAGATCTGATGCTCCAAAAATCCCTACAAGTTAGCTGGGGGCCCACGTCCTGCTGGTGATGCCTGAGATCGTCTCCAAAGAGCACTCTGGCTTCAACATCGGTGGGAGGTCTGTTGCAGGGGCTGGCTTAAAGTTGCAGTTGTTCAAGGCCACAACTGTTTTGATTGGAGCCGAGACGTACTCTGGCTTGGCTTTCTGGGCGAAAGCTACCTTGGAGACAAACCAAGTACTACCTTCTGGAAACTTCTTCGACGTCGCCATGTTGCCACACAATATGACGTCTGAGACTTTCCGAGCAAGAGACATCAAAAGTACTCGCCCTCCATCTTCACACCGGCCTTCAAGAAATCATACTTCTCAACGGATGGCTGCAAGACTCTGACTGGAAAAATGCCGATCTTGGCGCTGGCAGCATTCAAACCGGCAAGGCCCATGGCAGCAATGTCCAGAAGCTGAGCACTGCGTCAGTCCCATATATTCACCGGATCACCTTGAATTGGGCCTGTTCACAGCTTCGCGATTTGCCACAAAGTCCAAGTCATGTGATCAAAACAAAACATTTGACATTTTCAATCAGAATCACAACGGCATCATGTCCAAAGCACTATGCACGGCAACATGTTTTGTTTTGTTTGGTTCTCTGGTCCCAAAGTGAAATGCTGAATTGGCCAGCTGTGGGTTTTGAAGCAAATCACAATCCACGATCACACCTTGAATGTCAAGGGCGTCCATGGTGTCTGCTGTCAGGCCTGCAACATGTTGATTTCCAAACAGTTGGCCACGTGTGGTACATTAAGCAAAATCACCTTTTTCTTGCTGAAACACATTTGGCAACTCATCGCGATTGCCAAATGCAAAATTCACGCAATTTCACCATGGACTACTGAGCCGGTCATACGTGGGACATTGAGCAAAATCATTCCATGATGAAGACTTGAAGGGACAAGCCGTCTATCACGTACACAGTCACAACTGTAACAACATGCCCAATTTCCAGAACAATTTGCACGGCAAAGTGTTTCTTCTTGTTTGGTTCTTTGGTCCAAAGATGAAATGCAAAATTGGCCAGGTGTGGGCTTTAAAGCAAATCGCACTCCATGATCACGCCTTGAATGCAAAGCACGTCCTCGATGTGGCGTCAGACCTGCAACATGTTGATTTCCAAACACAAGTTCATGTGTGGTACATTAAGCAAAATTGTCTTTCTCTCTGCCAAACCAATTTGGCAAGTCGTTCAATTTTTGCCATGCAATATGGCCAACCAGACAACCAATGGCCTTATGCGAGAATGCCAAAATGTTGCAATGCTGTAAGCAATGTTGCTCAGCACACTCCGCCAAAACTTCTGGTTTCAGTACAATGCCAGTTTACGCCGATCAATCTTCGTCTGGGGTTCCCACCTGGGCACTGCCAACTTTCGCCAGCGCAACGACCTTGTAGTACTGGCACATCATCCTACAAAAATGGTTGAAGCAACACAAGTAACATTACCCTCATTACACAATGTCTCGCGGCCCTTCACCAAACCAATGAACTTCATTGCAATGAACAATCAACGTGCGTGTGGTGTTCCCACCTGGGCACTGCAAAAATTCACCAGCGCAACGGCAGATCATCCTGCAAGAACGGTTGAAGAAATCTTGAACAATCTTCTGCAGCCCGGTACAAACCAAGTTTGCAGCGTGTTTGCAATTGCAACCAATACCTTTTTACTGTCCATATACCATCTGTTTTTCCTTCATTGCCCACCGTCACATCGTCAAACCAAAAACTCGGTGGAAAAACTCCTGGGGCGTGGCAGCCATCCAAGTGTTTCTATTTTTTGGAAACCTTGCAAGCTGTCCAATTTGACAAGCACTTCAATGTGGAAGATTACTTGTAATCCCCCAAGCAAACCCAACTTCAAAATCAAAGTTACCTAATCATTGAGTGCGCCTGCTGACACACACACACATACACACACACACACACCGCGTGCGCGCGCAATTCCTCCGTGTCCTTTTTTTCTTTTGGACACGAAGCTGCAATGAGGTCACCAATACGAAGCTCCAAAGAGGTCACCAAGTCGGCTGCCGCATGAGAAATGCCCATGAAGCCAGTGGGCCGTGACAGCGCTGCTGTTGGCACCAAAAAAGAGTAACTAATCAAAAGCCCATGCCATGCAAAAAACAAGTGGCAAACAATCAGGCCAAACCATCACGCACCCAGACCCACACTGTTGTGGAGACTTGAAACCGTCTCTTCGCTTCAGCTCTCGTTGCCATTCCATGGCCCAAAGCAAATTTCCTGATGTAAATGTAAATGAAAAACGAGGCAATGGAAGATAAGTGGGTAGATATTCCGTATAAACATCTCTGATGAACATGTCTCTTGTACTGCACCTGCCACGGAAAATGCATCTTTGCAGATCCTCTTCACATGTCCCACGCCTGCCATCGCTTTTGGAAATGCTACAAATCCCTCACGTTTTGCTCACTTTTGGCACGGTGCACAATCCCTTGTGCCTGCCATGCGAAACGACATCTGAACGTCCAAAAGTGCTCCGTACCTGTCAGTTTTTTGCACTTTTGACGTGGAAATGTGCTTCGCGCCACAACGGCGTGCACTTTTTTGACATGTCAACTTCCAAAAGTGGTCCGAGAATGGTGTGTTTTGTGCATTTTGACTTCGAAATGTGCTTCGTGCCACAGCCACATGCACTTTTTCGACATCTCAACTTCCAAAAGTGGTCCGCACATGAGGTGTTTTCTATACATTTTGACTTCCAAATGTGCTTCGCGCCACAACGGCGTGCAATTTTTCATCTCTCGTCTAGCCAGATGGCTCCGCGCCCGCCGCTTTAGCGAGCCTACTTTTCGACCTTCCGGAGCCACAAATCATTGGAAAAATGCAGTGTTTCGCCACTTTTCTACCTTTTCCCGCACCTGCACATTCTTTCTTCTGACTCTTTCTCTTCTCTGATCTTCTCTCTTCTTCTCTTCTCTTCTCTGACTCTTCCCGTCTCTGCTTTTCCATCTGTCCATATTGTCGGAAGTTTGACTTCTAAACTTCCTTCGAACATCATGTAAGTAAAATTTCTATACTTAAAGTTCGATATGTCTCATGTTTAGACAATTCAGTATGTTATGATACTTGATATACAACTTTCTACAACCATGCAATTTAGGGGGTAGCCAATTTTGCAACATGCCCATTTACTACCAGGACTACCACTATTTTGTGTGAGAATTAGAATCTATCTTAGTTTAGCTCTGGCTTGAATTGCATTCCGTTGTATCCCACTACATCTACATGTTTTGTTTCATATCTCCGTGGTTGAATCCCATATCTCCCCATCATCCTGGGAGATTCATTGAAGATAGTTGGTTACTTGGTTTCATAACCCTCACTGGTTGGTGGTTGAGCCACCCCTCTGAATAATATGAAAGTCAGTTGGGATTATTATTCCCAACATATGGGAAAATAAAATTCATGTTCCAAACCACCAACCAGCTCATTAGTTGGAAAATCACAATTTTAATGGGTAAATCAACTATAAATGGACACTTTTCAATAGCTATGTTAAATTTCCAAAGGGTAGTTGGTAACCCACATTTTGATCGTGAACAACCGTTTTCCTTATCACATTTGCCATACATTGAGGCTAAATCCACCACGTTCAGTTCAGACACAGCGTTTCTATCATCCATCGTTGATACTCTGAAAATTCCCATGTGTTTGCCTCTATGTTCCGATGAATTCCATTACGATTTCCTACTTTTTCCCTTTTTTCATAGAATTGGATGATGGGAATTTTTACAGGAAAGCCCTATATTTGATGGTAAAAACCATGGTTTCCTGTAGATTTTCCCTTAAACCAACCCAATGATTTTTTCTGCTGGAATTCTGTCCCAAGACATCCAGGAAAAGCCACAAAACACACGGTCCCGCAGAGCTTGACCCCATGCGGCGGTTTCGGCTTCGCCGAAACCCAAGTGTTCCAACTCGCCTCAGCTGCGCGGCCGTACTGCCAAAGCTAGGGATATGACGATGATTTATGATGATTTATGGTGATTTATGGTGATTTAAAATTGTTCATTGTGATTTATGGTGATTTAAAATTGTTCAGTGTGATTTATGGTGATTTAAAATTGTTCAGTGTGATTTATGGTGATTGATGGTGATTTAAAATTGTTCATTGTGATTTATGGTGATTTATGGTGATTTAACATTGTTCATTGTGATTTATGGTGATTTATGGTGATTTATGATGATCTATGATGGTTTGTGATGATTTATGGTGATTAAAAATGGCTTATGGTGATTTATGGTGTTTTGTGATGATTTATGGTGATTCATGGTGTTTTGTGATGATTTATGGTGATTTATGGTGTTTTGTGATGATTTATGGTGATTAAAAATGGCTTATGGTGATTTATGGTGTTTTGTGATGATTTATGGTGATTCATGGTGTTTTGTGATGATTTATGGTGATTCATGGTGTTTTGTGATGATTTATGGTGATTCATGGTGTCTTGTGATGATTTATGGTGATTCATGGTGTTTTGTGATGATTTATGGTGATTTATGGTGTTTTGTGATGATTTATGGTGATTTATGGTGTTTTGTGATGATTTATGGTGATTCATGGTGTTTTGTGATGATTTATGGTGATTCATGGTGTTTTGTGATGATTTATGGTGATTCATGGTGTTTTGTGATGATTTATGGTGATTCGTGGTGTTTTGTGATGATTTATGGTGATTCATGGTGTTTTGTGATGATTTATGGTGATTCATGGTGTTTTGTGATGATTTATGGTGATTCATGGTGTTTTGTGATGATTTATGGTGATTCATGGTGTTTTGTGATGATTTATGGTGATTTATGGTGTTTTGTGATGATTTATGGTGATTCATGGTGTTTTGTGATGATTTATGGTGATTCATGGTGTTTTGTGATGATTTATGGTGATTCATGGTGTTTTGTGATGATTTATGGTGATTCATGGTGTTTTGTGATGATTTATGGTGATTCATGGTGTTTTGTGATGATTTATGGTGATTTATGGTGTTTTGTGATGATTTATGGTGATTCATGGTGTTTTGTGATGATTTATGGTGATTCATGGTGTTTTGTGATGATTTATGGTGATTCATGGTGTTTTGTGATGATTTATGGTGATTCGTGGTGTTTTGTGATGATTTATGGTGATTCATGGTGTTTTGTGATGATTTATGGTGATTCATGGTGTTTTGTGATGATTTATGGTGATTCATGGTGTTTTGTGATGATTTATGGTGATTCATGGTGTTTTGTGATGATTTATGGTGATTTTATGATGATTTATGGTGATTTATGGTGATTTAAAATGGTTTATGGTTATTTATGGTGATTAAAAATGGTTTATGGTGATTTATGGTGATTTAAAATGGTCTGTGGTGGTTTATGATGATTTGTGGTGATTTAAAATTGTTCATGGTGATTTATGGTGATTTATGCTGATTTATGGTGATTTAAAATGGTTTATGGTTGTTTATGGTGATTAAAAATGGTTTATGGTGATTTATGGTGATTTATAATGGTTTATGGTGGTTTATGATGATTGATGGTGATTTATTTTTTTTTTATAGTTGCGTTTGTTAGCCCTGGGGGTTGGGGGTTCAGATTTTGTATGCGCAAATCTAAAAACATAGGGGGGGGGCCCTACAAAACCAGAAACATGTCATTTGAACATGAACATCTTCAATCTACAAAATCTTAATATGCAACCCCACTTGGGCTTACACCTGTCACCCCCTCCAAATCTACAAAATCCAAATCATAGAAATCCATCTGCTATATAAAGGCATTAAACATTGATTCATAAAACCTTGAAAAATTGTCTCAGAAAAAATGCATTTTGTAGAGAAACCAGTGTTTGAAGTATAAAAATCAGCTTGATTCACTTGTTGATTTTGTAGAGGCCCTGATTTTCCATGATTTTCCTCTGCACGCTGGCTTCATCTGTTTTTTTTCCGCTGCTCTTTTGTCTTTGACTGAAGTTTTCACCACGCTCTGCAATCTTCAGATTGCTTCAGCATAGTGTCCCGCACTTCATCCCCGTTTGGTACTGTAGATTGTAGATCAAAAACGAATAAAAAAGATCTATGTATGTCTCCACATCAACATCAATGCCATTCAGTTCCAAAATTTCAATGCCACAGAAAATGTGGAATCATACATGTCAATTATTTTTGAAACCAAATGGAACATATAAAATCAACTGAAATCATGGTCCAGCCCATTTCCCTACAAAACCAGAAACATCCGACAAAATCTAAACCATGGCCTTAAACTCCTGAAAACCAAAATTCTACAAAACCAGAAACATCCAAAAAGTAATCCCAAATATCAGCCCAAAAATGGCCTCCTACAAAGTCTCAATCAGCTTGAGGAGCATTCAAAATACCATCACATAACTCTCAAAAAAATGGTTTGTTTCAAACGTCAACGTGCTAGATTTTGTAGGGGGAATAGGTGGGCCTATTTTTTTTTGGTGATTTATGGTGATTTATGCTGATTTATGTTGATTTATGTCGATTTAGTATGATTTATGTGTATTTGATATGTTTGTGGATACAATGGGTGTGTTTAATATTACGGAGGTGGAGTTAGACATATTTATCTGGTTGTTAAGGCTCTAGAAGGTGGGCCCCAGTTATGTTTGTTGGTATATATATAAACTGGTTCGGTGCATCCTCCATAGGCCCTAGTTAACCAAGACTCTAAGTCAACTTTACTATTTAGGGTGCCCCATGTTGCATGGTTTTTCAAGTGACAAAGATTTGTATGAATATATGGGTGTGTCTGAAAATGGGGGATACCCACAAATCGCCACTTTAACCGGGAACATTGAACATTATGATAATCCTTTGGGTTTCAGGGTAGCCTATTTTCAAACAATTCCATATGATGATATGATGATTTATGTGAATACTTGCAAATCCAGCAAAAAAAACACCTGACAAGACTCTGATGTTTCAAAGCACCCTGATGGAATCATCCAGTTTTGTACGTGCGGAAAAATGGGACTCCCATTCCCGTAGTACTCAGTTACTCCATGTTAATGTCAACCCCGGATTAATAAACCATGGTTTATTAATTAGGGGGGGTACTCCTCCAATAGTCATTTCATCTAATACTTATTTATGGTACCCTCCCAATTATATAAACAATCGTTTGGGTGTTATTAATCCAGGGCTGACATTATTATGGGAAAGGTCCCATCATGGGAGTCCCACGAATCCCATGGGAGTCCCGAGGCTTTATGGCTGGTATCATCTATAGCCCTAAAGCTAATAAAGCAACGAAGATCACGCAGGGGCATCCCGCGTTGACCCAGAGATGTGGAGCAACTACTTGGCAGATCCACTTAGAAAGTGATGAATAAACCCTATAATATTCTATAATGGTAAGCCTATAATACCCACTTAGTAACCCTATAACATTTAACATCCACTTAGTAACCCTAAAATACCCTATATCGAGTAAGTCCCCAAGTGGCTTGTCCGATTTATGGAGAAACTGCGCCCCCACCACTTTCGAGCCGTTGGATGACTTCCTGTCTTGGAACGTTGCGAGTAGAGGACAGGGTAGTAAGAGCTCAGGATTTTGAAGGCCACCAACATCCAAACCTCAGTTGTCCATAGATGGCGACTGACCGTGTCCAGGAAAAATGGTCTGCGTAATGTCCTGGGTGAATAAACCACTAGGCTGTTTAATTGTGGGGGGTACCATTTTAGTAACCAATTATCACTACGTATTTTAGGGGAACAACCAAATTGATCAACAAGGGTTTATTGATTCGCGGTTGACATTGTACAACAATTCGATAAACAGAACTCTCAGCCATCCATGCATCACGACAAGTCACCTCTCCTATAGCTCCCTATCTTTGAAACTTCCGCCACCGCCTTGTACGGTACTACTTAGCCAAAAACAAACCACTGACCTACTCAACCAAGGTTGACCTCGACATTTGGCACCACGACGTCGTTTACCTCTGGCCAAGGAACACTGACGGTCAGGGTAAAGACCACGGTGCTCAGAAGTTCTAAGGTATCACCTTAGGCCGACGAAAAACGCTGGGATGATGCTTGAAGCATCCAACATTTTCAGGATGTTAACCCAGGATGAACCTAGGATTCATTGAGTCACAGTTTATGAAGGGGATGGGTACACATTTTGATAGGCATTTATCATCATTTATCACCCATTTGGGGGATATCCCAACCTTGACCTCCATGGAATCTGCGCTCGAGCTTGGGATATCCCCAACCTTTTGGGGGTTTCAGATGTTTAAGTTGGGTAGATCACAAGGTCGACCAATTTTCCACCAGTGGCTATCCTTCAGCTGACTAGACTGGGTTGGAGCAACCCTGTGGTTCCAAGGCAAACATCTGTGAAACCACCAGGAAATGATTCTGAAGACTCTCACTTGAAGCAGGGGAAGTTTTCAATAATGTTCCACTGGACCACAGCCAATACCTGAACCAAACTGCTGATGCCAACGGTAGGTGTGGTGAGTTCAGAGGCAGCACGTGCTGGACCCAAATCCGACCAAAGGGGATGGAACATAACAAATCTGTGAAACCAAAAACAGCAACCGAGCCCTGACAAATACCCATCCCATCTTATTATGCTGGTTGGTTCATATGTACCCCTGTTGTGAAATATAACTATCTCTGACAAGTCACTTCACAACAAGTAAGTCACTACAACAACCACTCAACCGGGGTATGTTGAATGTCCATCCCTTGGCACCATCTCAGCATTCTCAGCCAAGCTGACCATTGCCATCCATCTTCACTCGCATCACATCCACAGAAGAGACATTGCCTCCCCGAAACATCAGCTGGCAGCAATAATCCTATAAGGTGCTGCTCCCCTAGACATCAAGTTGACATATCATAAAGCTCGACATATCATAAGCTTATATCATATCAGTGTTTAATAGGGGAGCAGCTGCTTAATATATAAGTTATGACAGTTATATAGCTATTAAACCAGCAATAACTATAAACTGTGTTTAATAGTTCGACATATCATAAAGCTTATATCTGTGTCAGTTATAAAGCAACTCTTCGCAATTTAGTTCACTGGAGCCCCAGCTCAAACAAGGCCAACAACCAGCAACAGCAGCTGTAGGCTGTAGGCTTCAAGAACGCAGCTGATTTGCAGCTTTGTAAGTCTCTGTAATGGTTCTTCAGATCATTCCTGTGTATATATACATATACATATTTGCCAATATATATGTATATAATATAACAAAAATTATCAAATTATATCAATGTGTGCGGAAAAATGGTTCTGCTAAATGGTCATCATTGTCATCATGAAAACACATCCATGGGTCCAACAAGAAGCATATTGAAATTGTATGAAATTGTACAGGCAAAGTGGCTACCTTTTGCCTAACCTTTCTCGAGGCGCTCCCGTGTCGCTTTCTTGTACAGCCCCACAGACTCAACTCTGGTTTCCTCACATTCCACGACTGGAAAATCTCCTAATGGATCATTGGTGTACTGAGAAAACGGAGCTTGCAAACACGGGGCAAAAGCAAAGGAATCAAAATGGACCATCAGCACCCTCTTCATCGAGAATATCATCCTGAAATCGGATGATGACTCCCCAATCCCACTACGACGGCCAATTTGGGATGAATTCCTCGATCTCTGCAAAATGCGCAATTGACCCCTATGGATTTGCCAGCAAGTTGTGTATACACACCTCAAACGCAGATCTAACCTCAGCAAACACCAAAAAATTCTATCCTTCATCCAGCTTGAAATGGTGGACTGTCCTGTGTGTGTGTGCCTCCAGTTTCGGCAAGTTTGTTGGAGAAAATCTTCATAAGCGGTGACGGTTTCCAAATTTTGATACAACCCCGCAACAAAAACTTAGACATTCTGCCAAAATCTATCCACAACGCAAACAAACAGAAAACATTGGACTACCCTCCCGCAATCAGCATGATCAGCTCCATGACTTGCTGAACATATCACAGAAAAGTCGATGATTTTCCCATGAACACCTCCATTTTGGGATGTCTGGACGATACGATCCGCGCGCTCTTGGCAACGCAGCTGGTTATCCCATGTTTATTTGTTGAATTTCAATGGTTTTGATGAACTCTCAACTTCTGCTCAATATGGTGAACAAAAGCAACTTCTGTTTGTTGAAACCCAGGGATTTTCTTGGCAAAATTCCGTTGTGCCATTTGCTCTCAATGTTTATTTGTTGAAACCACTCATGAACTGCCTTTTTTTTGTTTTATCCTTGTCAAATCCACCCTTTTCATCCGCAGTTTTTTTGTGGCCTTGAAGCTGATCGATGGAATGGGTGACGTTCGCCAACTCATTTGAAAGCTTCGCACCTGAGAAAATGGATGATGAATTGCTGATGTGCTGAATAATATGAGGATAATTATGAAAAATAAAATTATATACAATCGTTCTTATCTTATACTCGTCATATTTCATGATATGTTGATTTTCATAATGATTGACTATTATATAATTGGATATATATATATATATAGGTATATAGTCTGCGAAATATATGTTAATGTGTTGGATATTATGTTGATATCCAGGAAAACTGCGCGAGGAAAAACTGTTCTAGTATGACGATTTTCTTTGGCACTAGCAGGTGGGATATCATATAATAACCGTTTGAGACGTCAATCCACGGGGGACCCGGGACCCGTGTAGCTCACACCAAAATAGCTGGGATTTGTGGCCATTCGCGCAAAAATGGTATAAACATGGTATGAACATGGTATAAACATGGTGAAAAAATGGTGAGCACATGATATAAACATGGTATAAGTAATCCATAGCCAGGCTTTGACTAATTCTCGGGTCCTCTTGTCCCCTTGGGCGAATGGAAGGAACAGAATCCAAGCACGAATCCATTTCGGTCCACCAGGGATGAGTCCATTGTTCATGATGGATTGGTTTAAGGGAAAATTAAGCTGGAAAGCCCCCTAAATTTCATGGGAAATTCGATGGTTTCCGGTTAAGATGTTCCCAAGAAAACCAATCCATTCAATGGCCACTTCAGGTACCTAAATCGGAGGTACCTACCATATAAAAGGGCTATGTAAGGGGATGTACACCCAAATGTGGCTTTATATGGTACAGTACCTCCGTTTTAGGACCATCCTGGAATTCCCATTGCTCCATTGAATTGTTCATTGCGGAAGGTGGGCTTCATGATTTGCACCCAGCATGCCCGACATTCCGCACTTAAAAAATGAAGCCTCTCCTTGCCCAGTTTCCAGTTTTCAAAAGCATTCGCATTGCCAAATGGCAAGGATAAAAACATGGCAGGAAAGCCCTATATTTACGGTTTGAACATGTTGTTTTCCTTCAAATTTCCCAGGACATGTTCTTATGTTTTGTTAGTGGCTCCCGATAGAAACACCACAATTCAGCAGTTTCCAAAACCTACAAGGCGCTGCTCCCAAAGTTATAAGTTGCTTTGTAAAGCCGGTTAACTATAAATCCTATAGTTAACCCATAGTTAACTCGCTTTACAAACCAACTATTATAAAAGTTGTATATATATATAATACCATAAAGCCTAGACAATATATCCCATATAATAGTGATATACAAATTATATACCAACCATCATATATATATATATTTGAATAATATATTGGAGTAGTGTCAGTTGTATCCCAACTTTTCACAACAGTTGGCTGGGGCTACCGGGCCGTCTACCGGGCCGTGGTTGGCACGGTAGTGGCCTGGCCGTGATAGCGGGTGAAGCAATTCACAGACTTTCGCATGGGAGTTGAATCAAAAAAAGTATGAAATCTATTGACCAAAGCAGGAACTGATACTGGAAAAAGATTTGTCCTTGGTATCTTGGAAAACAAAAAGGAAAACTTGTGAGATTTTCCTGGATCATCATGGATCGAAGTGGCTGGAAATACTTGCAACATCTTGCCACAAAAGAGACATGTCATCATGTTTCAAGTTACACTATGGATCCCCAAAACAAGGCTCAAACGCTTTCCATTTCGGGGTCAAACAAATTGACCCATTCAGCAAGGTGGCTCGTTCAACATTGTAAAAACATCCAAACATGCCTTCAACAAAGCAGGAAAAACATGTAAACTGTGTTTACATCAGTACCTTTAGACATACCCAACTGACGCAGCATGATCAAGCATTGCAAATTCTTTTGGTTGGATGCTCTGAGTCGGTTCCGTACAGTAATGTTCCATATTTATTTTTGTGAAACAAATCCCAATTCTTGCCAATTCAACTTCCATGTGATTATGGATCTGAAGTCTGAAGTTATAAATCCCACAAAATCCCAAATAGTCGGGAAACATTTAGAACTTCTAGCAAAATAATTTGGTTGGTGGTTTCAACGCCTCTGAAAAATATGAAAGTCATTTGGGATGATTATTCCCAATATATGGAAACAATGTTCCAAACCACCAAACAGTAATGATCCCGTATTAAACAAAATACACCGATCGGACTTCTGTGGAAAACCTCGCTGGCACTGAACTGAGCTAATGATCAAGGCCCCGGTCCGTCGAATTCTCGAATTCCGAGGGAGTCGACTCCTTCAACAGTCTGGGTAAATTGTACTAATTCTACGGAAAATAAGAATACAAAAATGGGATAATAGTGCGGATATGTGGGGATTTGGTCATGTTTGGCCCATTTGTAGAATTTGTATAGATGATTTATTAAACATGATGTGGTAATGTTTGGCCGCATTTATTTTTTCTATCAATGATTTACCTTTCAACCACAGCGGCGATGTTAAATTGCCAAAAAGTACTTGATACTTTACTAAAACACCCATATCATACAAAGGTCATTTTTCACTCACTTTGTCACTACAACCCAGCACAAGCGCAAGCAGCGCCTGTCTGTGTGGCATTGGTTTCACTTCGCAGCAAGGACGCATCTGACACAGGTTGAATTGTGGTGACACGAATTTGTTTGGAAATTGAACCAACATCCGCGCTTGCAAGGAATAAATTACACACATTGATATTAATACCGACAGATAGATAAATAGATAGATAGATAGATAGATAGAAATATAAAACCATACATGTATATATATATATATTAATATGCATATGATGCAAAAAAATGTTGTGCAACATATCAGGTAAATGTGCGTAAAATCAGTCCACAAGACACCATTCAAATCACCAATTGCCAAGTGTCTCCTATCCAACGTGCAAAAAAAATACCGTCCCTGACAGGGAAAATCCGTCGGATATTGGAATTGGGGGGCACTGTGCTCGTGAATGTGATTGTGCGATATTGTGCGCACACATGAATATATTTATAACATATATTTTCATGAATTTCATGTCTTTATGATCTTTATGTATTGCATGAGCAGTTTGTTGCGTCAACACATCCAGAAAATGTGCGTTTCCAACAAAACGATAACAGCAGTAAAACCAAACCGAATTGACCACCTGGGGTGTTGAGAACCCTATTGTGGATGGAACGAAACATTTTCAAATGCAGTGAAACAAAACATTTCAGATCCACAAGAATGAGCCAGGGCAGGGCAGGGCACACAACGCCAATAACGATTTCGAACACATACCAAATAATATTGGCAACTAAATGACAACAAAATCAAATTGAACACAATGAAACTGCCGCTGAAACACACTGGGAAAATAACTCCGGAAAATGTTCTTCACGACCTGCTGGTAAATTTGAAGGTCTCAAGTCTCAATGTCAAAAGGCTGAAAAAAACATTTGTTTCTATTTTGCCTTCGCGCCATTTTGCCAGCCAAGGCACGCAAGTGTTCTTTTGTTGACAGCAAAGACCCATCTGGAAACACCTGCGGCATTTTTTTTGTAGTTGCTGGGCTTCAACTGTGGCAAACAAAAATATTGAAATAAACGAAACTAGCCCGTCCCCTTTGTTCAGGAATCAATATCTGCAGGCCGGTCGAAAATTCCAGTTGCAAAATTCAACCGTTCTTTCCATATATTGCCAAACAAAAAAAACCGTCACTGATATGATTGGGTTCTGTTTGGTTTGTTTATTTGGCTTTATTTTGTTTTGCTTTAGGGCTACAGTTTGTTTTGTTTTGTTCTGTTTTACACCAGCTTCGAAAGGAAGTTGTTCATGAGAGCAATCTTGTCGCAAGTCTACCCCAGAGTTAATCAACCACTGAGCAAAAAAACGACACCAGCAAATCTGCCCTTTTCGTATCTTGGGTCGCCCCGTTGGTGTTTCAAATGTGGTCAGCTGATTGTCTTGAAAGGCCCGTGGTCTCTAACATGCAATGGACCGTGCACGAGCAATCTTAAAAGCTACCAAGGATTCCCCCATTGGATAATTATATTCCACAGTGTAAAAGTTTGTTTCAGGTAGTATAATCCACTAGAATCATCACCAGGGTTTTGAGCGCTGTTCATCTGAAGATGACAAGTGCCAAGCAAACATGCCGGCGTGCCTGCCACTGCCGATGGTTGGGATTGATTGCCGCAGCGAAGCACCTGGGAGCTGCTGCCGCTCACGGGGGAAGGGGGGGCGCTGAGCGCCAACATTTTGCGGCCCCAAGGCGCTGACCTGCGAGGCTTGTGAGTCATTCCGAGTAGTCCAGGCTGCAGCGAACCCTGCCAATGCACAAGTAATACTGCCAATGCATATGAGTCGTAGAATACACATCACGTTTTTTTGAATGCTCCCAGCAGGTGGTTTGACACCCCATGTGATGCCATGTCCTTCAGGTGAGTCAAACTTTCCAATTGAGAAGAAATAATTGTATAACCCCCAAAAGCAAGATCAAACAAGTAGAACAATGATCTATCATATCTATCATGTTGAGAAACTCTATCTGTAGCTCATTGTAGCTCCTTCGCTCCTTCCATTTTGTTTCGGAAATATGAGTCTCTCTCTCTCTCTCTCTCTCTCGAGCTGGCCGCAGCTAAACATGATAAAGTTGGATGATTTGACTCGTCCCACGTTAATCCTCAACCTGACTGGCTCATTGTTCCCCAGTGAAACGCCAGTCAGAAATCCAGCATGAAACCTGCGTGGATGCTCCAAGGTGGTTCCCCTAGTCCTAGTTTAATAGCTATGTACCCTCTGGTAAACGTTAACATAGCTATTGAAAATGGTCCATTTAGTTCGTTGATTTACCTATCAAAGATTGTGATTTTCCATAGTTATGTACAGTAAACGTTTACCGGAGGGTAAACCTCCATTTTCCTATGGTTTTCCTATGGTTTTCCTATCCTTTTCCTATGGTTATACCACTTCACATCCACTTCACCAACACTTCACCGAGAGACCTTTCAAGCAGCGATTTTTTTTTTCGGATCCGAGGATTCGATTCGTGGAGTGGCAGATACCCAGTGGACGATCTTTTTTTTATGGGTATCCATATATCATTAATTGGGATATATACCCATATTACATCCCAATAATAATATATAATATCCCCCATAATATATGGATATAATATATAATATACCCATTTATTTCCATATTATTGGGATATTATATATTATTAAAATGGGATTATATCCATATATTATTATACCCATTTATATATTATATCCATATATTATGGGATATTATTAAAAGGGATAGAAGATACCCATCATTAAAAAAAATAGAAGATACTTATTATACATAAGATATATCATATATAAGATACCCATATGGCCATATATCATTAATATATCCCAATAATAAGATATAATAAGCCAATCCCATTGCCGGTATTTTCATATATATTCATATATCATTCAAAACATCCCAATACTTGGAGGATCATATATATCCCAATAGTAACTTCTTGGTGGTTTCAACCTACCCCTCTGAAAAATCATGGTTCGTGAGTTCGTCAGTTGGGATGATGACTCCATTCCGAACCCATGACGGATCCATGGTGCTGGTATATATGCTAACATGAATGGGGTATATTGATGGGATTCATGTTACCATATATAGCAGCATACATGGATCATACATGGATCCTATGGGCAAGTCATATGGGAGAATCATCCAGCCATGTTCCAGTCACCAACCAGACTAAGTGGGATGATCCCCAAAGTACCCTGAGGGCATCCCGAATGCAACATCTCAATCCCCCAAGGGTTACCACCTTTAAACACAGCCCATCTTTTGACACAAGAATCTTGTTGGTTGGTTTTGGAGTGCGAAATGGGTCTATTTGGAAGTGGGACTTTTTTTGACATATATCACGTATATCACACATATCACATAGATAGATGGATGGATAGATGGATTGATAGATGGATTGATTTGACTTGACTTAGGTTCATTTGACTTGATTGATTTCAACTGAACAAATCAGATGTTATAGATAGACAGACAGACACACACAGACAAATGGTGATTTCATAAAATAGGGGTACCCCAAACCATCCATTTTAATAGGATTTTCCATTGTAAACCATGCATTTTTGGAATCTCCCATTTTAGGAAACCCCAAATAGAGAGATATCGTATACTATCGTATAACATCTTCACATTTACATCTTAACACCACACATCGCCTTATGAAACAGCGAAGCGCTGGTCACCTAGAAGCGGTGTTTGACATTACTTCGTACAATTGGTTTTATATGTTTCTATGACTTCCTAAGCCCCTTAGGTGGCTGATCTCAAAAAAGTGTTTCAAGTTATAAAAGCATTGTTACGAAGCAGCTACTAAGTGGGACGATCCTCCTTGAAAAACGCTGGAAAAAACGCTTGGACACCCGGTTGTTGGTGTCAGCAGGTCCCGAATCTACTGGAAGATGTTTGTCGGGATTCTTGGGTTCATCTTTGTGGCCTACACCAAACCATGTACATACCGTAATATAGTGTCTTGCAGAAAGAAGTAAATAAACAAAAAAGTCATGAAATTTAGTACATAAATAGTTAGTTTGATACATGCATATTGCATAAACTCATATATATATATATTATACATATGCATATATATATAGAGAGAGAGAGCAACCACTATAAATATGGAAAAAAACATCCTACTAAAATCGTGATAATCTATTGTTGATCTTTCTGGTGCTTTATATATACACATATACACAGAGGGTGTTACACCTTGGGCACCATCTTTTTGGCTGACACCGGCAGACTGGCAAAACCCCAGGGATGATATGAGGAACTTTTTTTGGGGGTCATATGGCAAGATAATGACAACATATGAAAACAATGGTACCCTCTGGTAATTTAACATAGCTATGGAAAATCACCATTTTTAATGGGAAAATCCACTATATATGGTCATTTTCAATAGCTATGTTAAATTACCAGAGGGTAAACTTTAAGTGAAACAAGAGGGGAAAATAGTGGTGAACTAGTAGATTTAAGATTTATATTCTAGGTTTTGGTGGGCGATGATTTAGCAATGGAAATAACGCCAAGGGTACTATAACGTGCCCAATTTATAATGATCAGTACAGTATACAATCGGATTCTCAGCCCATGCAGTACGCGAATTTTTCCCGACATATGAAATGAAGGGTAGCACATAACCCCAAAAATCATCGGCCAACAACATATCAATCATTCTCCATGTTGATGGTTAGAACCAATTAGGTGACGTTTCTATTTCATTTGGAAGTTTTCTAAACTAGGGGTACCCCAAATCATCCATTTTAGTAGGATTTTCCATTGTAAACCATCCATTTGGGGGTACCCTCATTGAAGGAAACCCCCATTTGAATTTAAATCATATCAAACTCAGTTTTTTGAAACTGCTCGACTGCAGTGCTCGTCAGGATGCAACGAGACATGTCAAGCTGGGGATGAACGAAAGAGAAAGGTAACACACAGCTGCTAAATCATAGATATATAATCACATGGCCACTCTTAGATACCCTGCAGAAAAAATCTTAGCTGGTTACTGTTAGTAGATAATCCCAGTGATACCAAAAGACTAAAGGATTAAAGTACCCATCCAAAACGAGGTTTAGCCTAGACACAAAAACAACGTGTCTAAGATTGACAACTCTTTTGTAACCATTGTAGGTAGACCGCATGCAGAATGTCACAGAATGTCACAGATTTAGCTGGGATGGATGCACATCCAGTTCTGATCTATTCTTGGGCTTCCCACATTTACCACCCACTTGAAATTGGTAAATACCAAATGGCCCAAGTGGCGCTTCTTTCCTATATCATAATTGTAGCACTCATACATCACCTATGATTTAGTTACTAACTGGATTACGACCATGTATAGCTCATACACATATTTGTTTTTTGGAGACATGACTACCAAACGGTTTGTCTGAACATAGGATACCACCACAATTCAACGCTCTTTCATATCTTTTCCCGTTTTCAAATTGGCCAAAGAACAGGGATAGCTGCAGCATTTTCAGACGCATCGAAGTTACGTGGTGATCCCGTTCCCGATGACCAAAGCCGGCCATGGTGAAATCGCGTAAGGATCCGAAAATTCTGCTAATCCCCAAAAAGATATATAGTTATAATATGTTATAATTATATAAATTTAAAGTAAAATCCGAATGAAAGACTGCTAATTTACAGTTCCATCTTTTTGGGAGTTACTATATATGAGAAAGATCGTCATGAACTCATGTGTACCCTCTGGTAATTCAAGATGGCTATCATTTGGTTCGTTGATTTACCTATTATATAGCCGCCGGCAAACAAACATAGCTATGCAAATCATAATTTTGGTAGATCAATAATCTAAAAAGGAGTCATTTTGCATAGCTATGTTAGTTTACTGGAAGGTAAATATGGTGATTTTCCAGTTCGCAAACTCTTAGTTTGGCAGAGGGTGTACTGGGCATGGCTGGGGGGAGCATCCCACTTAGTCAATGGGTTATACCCCCAGTTATATATGGAATATCTCCATTTATACATATTTATACCCTCTGGTAAACTAACATAACAATAACATAACTATGGAAAATAACCATTTTAAATGGGGAAATCAACGAACTGAACAACCATTTTCAATAGCTATGTAAAGGTTTACCAGAGGTATCTGGGATGAAATATGGGTCATGGCTTATAAACCACTTAAGATTCTCGGGACACTCATCCTGCCATTCAGCCCAGGGGCAGGCCGAGGTCAACGGTGATCACGGTGACCCGGGTCCACTGCATGGTGCCTGAGACAACCCCAGCCATGCCCCAAAAATGGAGCTCTTATTGGGAACAGCATCACACTCAATGCTGGATTTTCATAGATTTTCCAGCTAAACATGTTTGCCGGAGGGTAAGTTGGTGACATCCCCCATAAAATCCATAAACCTAAGTTAACCAAGTTATGCGCGTCAACTTAGCTATCTAGGGGCTTCACCTCGAAATACAATAAAACAGATATGTTCATGTCCGAATATTCGATGACATGTATTGCAAAAAAAACATTTAATAGTTTTGGTCAGGCTGGCCAGTGTGCCGTATTTCAACGGAAATCTTCATCAGTTCATCTCAACGAACGGAGTATATTGCCAAGGCATAAGCCGCAAAAGTCGGTATGGCAGCATGTCTTGGTAAGTTGATTCCTCCCGTTCCATCTTTCCGTGAAATTGATCAGACGGCATTGAGTGAATCATCCAACTGCTGCAAAAGGACGTCTCCCAGTATATGCACAATACACTGCAGGTCGCGATACACCCAAAGGTGAACATTTCCTGAACAGGAAGCACTTGTCCGGAGACTTCCGTTTCACAACGTTTCGAAGTGTCTGTCGCAAATTGTAAAGTCAGGAACCATCGCCAACGCATGGCGAGACTGGATCCAGAGTAGGACGGGAACCTGTCCGCCAAACTTTTTGACGAACTCTTCAACCGTCCTTCGGATTTGTTCATGATTTCAACCGCAGCGCGGTAATTCGGGTCATTAATGGTCATTACCCGCCTTCTTCCTGACCCATAGGCATGCCTCCTTGGGTTCTTCCTCCTCCATATCACGAAGCCAGCGCGAGGGAGAATACCCACTCCACGCATTTTCGATGATCTTCCACCCTGAATTCTGTTCTCGTGGGGACAGGAGCAAGAAGGCTATTCTTCTGGCTTTCAAGTACTGTGTGGCTTCCTCGAACACCACAAGACTTCCCGTCGCCATCCTTGCAAAGGTTTCTCCAATCCGTCAAGGATCCTGTGGGGAATCTCCTCCTCAAGCAAACCAGCGTACCTCTCAGGACACACAAGTAGCGTCCGGTAACCGTTCCCCCGCAACCTCTGCAGTGCCGTATTCACCCCCTTCGCGCAAAAGACGGGGTTGAAGTACCTCTCAGGCCACCTTGTGGAAGTTCCAGATCCTCTTCAGTACACATCTCAGAAAAAAAAATCAGCAATGAGGTCCTCCAAAAAATCCACTCGTGAGTTTTAATTAGAATTTAGATATTGTAATGCGTTGTAATGTGTTACAATGTTACAATATATTGTAACGTATTGCATGTCTTAAGTTCATATCAGTGGGCATCAATACAGCAATCTGTGGCGCTATAGTGAGATCCATCTCAGCATGTATCGCCATAAAAATCATGGTGAATCTTAGATACTTGCCAAAAAGTATGTTTTTATTAGCTGGCTAGTAAATTTTACCATTGATAGCAACAGATTCAAGTACTAAAGTTTCTAACCAAGGTTGACCCAGGAATTTTGATAGCGAACATCATGATAAAACCATCAAATTCTGGGGTATTCTCTTTTCAGACAACGCCAATTTTCTGAAAAGGAAACTGACATGCAGATATCAAAGTACCTGCATGTACGATTCCAAATATCATCTTGGTGTGCTGGATATTCATCAACACTGGTTTTTTTTGAAGTACATGTCAGCGCACATATCACTAATAAAGGACATACTCTATGTATCGCATGTACATCTGATAAAAAACGGGTGATTTTGTTGGCTATTACGTAAATGATCTGGGATATTGGTCATGTAGATCTAAACGAAGATGTTCGTCATAAAAACGTTGGGGAAATATACACCACACGCTCATTTCAACAAAACCAGTGATACACTCAGCAACAAATCAATTTGCTCGGAAGCTCACATGAGAGAAAAAAACACCGGCATTGACGATCTCCATTTGACGTTCAATTTCACATGCTCCATGTGACGCCCAAATGGCTGAAATTTGTGCCAAATCCCCGAGGTATACTATGCGAGGATGGTAGTGGAGTTAAACAAGAACAGTTTTTTTCATAATTTCTTCATATTTTTTGCATATTTAATGGTCGTGGGTAATAAACTCTTGGGGTAAATTTTCGGGGATTTAACTACAACTGCTTGGTGGTTTTAACCATCTTGAAACATATGAAAGTCATTGGGAAGGATGACATCCCATATATGAAACGGAAAATAAAATATATTTGAAACCACCGACCTGTATAAACATGCGGCTCCCTGTTCTTGTCGCAATTTAATTTCAAATATTGATGGCTTCAAGATACCACATGTTTGTCATTGTTTAATGTTTAATTCTGCAGAGAAAATCCCATTTGCTAACTCGCTGTTCTGTAATTATATTCATGTACAGGGGTTCACTACCCCTAGAAAGGGAACAGTCCGTCTAGGATGTGAAAAAGATTGTGTTTTTCACCATAATTTCATAATACCCTCTGGTAAACATTTACATAGCTATTGAACATGGCCATAGAAATAGTGGATTCTCCCATTAAAAATAGTGAATTTCCATAGTTATGTTAATTTACCAGAGGGTAGTTCATCTATTTTTTCCAGGTTTCCAGCTTTTCGTTCCATTTCTGGAAGACTTGCATCCGAATTCACCTGACAAAAATCAGCCATTTGGAGTTTTTTTTCGCCATAGTTCAGCATGATTTCTGGTGAGGTTGCTCCAGCTGCTCCAATTATATCGACTGCTTGGTGGTTTTTCGCCACCCTTCTGAAAAATGATGGAGTTCGTCAGTTGGGATGATGAAAGTCCCAATATATGGAAAACCATCTTGAAAATTGTTATTTCTAACCTGGTTGGTGGTGCACTAACCATCTTGAAAAATGATGGAGTTCGTCAATGGGACGGTTGACATCCCATATATTATGGAAAATAAAACATGTTCCAAACCACCAACCAGTATATATATATATACACACTGTAAATTTCAACCAACCTTAGCAAATGAACCGGAGCACCAGCACGGTACTAACATCCATGTTTCCCCTTAAAATCACCATCTGTATTGGTTATAAGTTATAAGTTCCAAGTCACAACCATCATGTTTATGGTTAGCTTTGTGGGGGCAGTTTGCGGGACAGCTCAGGCCTCACTGGTGTCATTCGGTTTCGGCCATGGCGGCTGAGCAATGGTGACCAGACAAGCTTTCAATGTTCTGAGGACAATGGTGTCTTCATTGAAACTTAAGTGTCTGGTGAAAATTAAGCTTAAGTTTTCAAATTCCATTTTCACACATTGAAACCAGACAGTTTTCGATAGTGACCTCAATTTTTCGATGAAACAATGGAAGTGATGGGTGTCCAGTCAGTCATGGGCCTGGACCAGACCAGGCTGATATGGAGGGCCTACCTTTAATGACTGGAGCCAGATGGTTGCCAAAATGGCCATGGGTCAAAACCCCGCCACAGCCCCGCAGTTCTCCCCAACACATAACGGGGAACTGTGGATATGCATCTCGCTCACACATTTTATAGTTTGCTTGGATGCATATTTAAGGCGCCCAAGACATTCATGGTCATTTGAACAGAACATGGTCATTACCACTTTTAATTTAGGGGTACACTGACTTGACACTGACCCATACCTTGGTATGTTCCAATATGATCAACATTGCAGGAACGTGATCAATTCCCCCGAACTTGACTGGTTGGTGATTTCAACCCCTCTGAAAAATATGAGTTCGTCAGTTGGGATTATTATTCCGAATTCCCAATAGATGGAAAAATAATCCATTCATGTTCCAGTCACCACCAACCAGTTGAAGGGTTATACCCTCCTGTAAACGGCATGGATGTGGAAAACCCACCATGAATGTAGATCATTGTACGAACAGGAAACATCAGGAAACCATAGGACCATACCCCGTAAGAATGTCCATGGCTTGCTCGAAGCTAGTTCTTGCTGAAAAACCCTCCGGTAATTTCTTACATGGCTGGAAAATCCGTCATTTACCCTCTGGTAAACCAAGAAACACCATTTTTAATAGGTAAACCAGGTAAACCATCTATTTCTATGGGCCATAGTCCATAGAATCCATATCTATGTTAGTCTGGAGGGTACAGTAAATGTTTGCACTGAAATGCCCATTTATATAGTTTAGGGATGTTCAAGGACTTCCCAGGTACCTCAGGTACCGGTCAAGTAACCACCTTCAATCCGACCAGGTCGGTTCCTCAACATTCGGAGGGTACAAAACCCCCTCGAACCCCATTTCGGAAATCCCCAGGGTTGATTAAACATGCGTAAAGCCCATTGAAATGACGTTGCATCTCTGGTAAACATAAGACAAACTGATGGGAGAATCACCATGCTATTAATGGGAAAATCCAGTATTTCTATAGCAATGTTCATTAGCTATGTTAGTTTACCAGAGGATAAATTATATCCCATTTCATCGCATTCTATCCTATCAAATATCTCCCTAAAAACCATCTCCATTTTTAGATGAACAAAAACCATATATAATTCTAAAAAAAACGCATCCCATTCTTGGTGGATTCTTAGGAGTAATTAATCCACCATCTCTAATTAATACCCCCATCACATCCCATTCTTGGTGGTATATCTCCAATATATCCCATGACATCCCATGTTATCCATCTTATTGGATGCTTCCCAGCTCCCCGAAGGTTTAACAAAACTTCTGCTGTAGTGGTTGTGCATAAATCACCACTATCCTAAGGGTAAAGACCTGGGAATGACTCATTACAGAGAGTCTCCCAAAAGATAGCAAGTCGAAACCTATCAAAATAGTGATACACAACCAGTGATTAAAAACAAAAAACATAGAACAAACATATAACCTGGGTAAAATAGTGATACACAATCCTCATTTACTACAATAGAAAGATAGAAATATCACTTTTCTGCATCTTTTTTGGGTTCCAAATTGTCTCTGAAAATCCACATTTTCCCTGGTCCACATGTTTAGCGGGGGAAGGCGACCGACATGTTTGGCGACTTTCGCGATCCGGCACCTGTGGGGTTCAACTTGGTGTGCCATGAAACGGGAGGGTGGTATGAGATATGCCCATTTCTAATGGTGAAAACAGTTAAAACCCATACATAGATCCATCTAGATGATATTGGATGATGCTTCAATCCCATCTGGTTGGTGGTGCAATAATCATCTTGAAAAATGATGGAGTTCGTCAATGGGGTTGGGATGACACCCCATATATGAAATGGAAAATAATCCACATGTTTGACACCACCAACCAGTTCCATATCATTCCACTCTAGTTGATTATCCATGTTCCATTGTATCCTGATCAACATCTCATTAACCACAATGTTTCATCTGTGCCATGGTCAACAACTAATATGGCTTTTGGTTAAATCCAATAATAGGAATCCAAACACAATGGGTTAATCTAAGTCCGTATGAAAATGAAATTGATGACTATCCACCAATATTTTGGGTACATATATTCACATCATCCAGCTTTTGACAATAGTACATGAGGAAAACTATATTAGAGAAACTGTATGGGCAAACCAAAAAGGTAAACTCTTGGAAATATAGCCATGAGTAAACAAATTGGTTAAACACATGGGCAAATTATCGGAAAAACATTGGTTAAACCAATGGGATTGATATGGAAATATCAGAGTGGAGTTTCCCACGGAACATGATCGACCCTCTGGTAAACTTACAAAACTATATGGAAAACCAAAACCATCATTTTTTTCTGGGTAAATCAACTATGGCCAGTTTCCATAGCTATGTAAACGTTTACCAGAGGCTACTTCAATGGTGGATAAGCAGGATGAAGAATCCCCTAGACATGAAGGCAATGGGAAAATCAATTACCCGGCCTGGTAATGACTAACAGTTTGCTATTGAAAATGGCCATTTATAGTGAATGTTCCCATTAAGAGCATCATGATTTCCATAGCTTTTTGCATGTTTACCAGGATGAACTATAAAGTCTAAATGGGATATTTTCCATTACCATGTTTGATTGGCAAGCCGGGTAAGCTTGGGAATACTTGCCAATAACACTTCAGTTAGTGGATTGAGCCACACCCCTACACAAAATCGACAACTGATGGGGTCATTATCCTGGGTCTGGATGGAAAGTGGAAGAACATGTTTGAACGCATCGATCAGTATATCCAATCTAAATATATCCGGCCATCTGGGGATGATTTCATGGATTTCCCCAATCCAATTCCCATCATCGAACTGGGCAAGCTGGTCATGGCTGGGGTCACTGTAACTTACCAAAATATTTCACTAATGACCTATCGTTGAAACTTGAAAAAAACCGATCGGTTTTCACCAACACACATCGGGTGCGATTGGAGGTGGTCGTCAACCCACATCGGGTCCCCAAAGACCATCCCTTCCACCAAACATCCCCGAAACCCTGCGACGTGATTCTGGGATGCACACAGAACCGGGCCCAACCACAACCAGCGCGGAGCGTAGCGGCGTAGCGTTTTCTTATACCAGCTATAGCAGCTGCAGCTAGTGAGTTAGACGCCAACTCTGGTGTCTTTATGTGAAACAATTACCAGGATTGTCTATTTCAGAGGCGCCCATCGGTCTCATGATGCATCCTGCTGGTGCTGCTGGAGCTTCCCCCAAATCATCCCAATATGTCCGGAAATTCGACACATGGTTCATTACCTGTGATCGGAATGTCATCCCATCTTCATCTGCAAGGGTCACAAGGTTCATAGCTCGCTGAGTAGATGACCACATCACTGGTGTACCCTCTGGCAAACGTTTACATAGCTATGGAAAATCACCATTTTTTATGGGTAAATCCACTATTTCTATGGCAATTTTCAATAGCAAACTGTTCAATTACCAGAGGGTAGGTGATTGGGAGCACAACCACCTACAGTTAAAAATCAACCTTTGGACGGCACCGAGATTTTCCAGAAACGCTATCAAAACCATCCCTTTCCAACACTCATCACCCAATTTTTCAACAAAACTCCTGGCTGGTTGGTGGTTTTAACATGTTTTAACCATCTTGAAACATAGTTCAAGGGAAGGATGACATCCCAATATATTATGGAAAATAAAACATGCTCCAAACCACCAACCAGCAACCAAAATCTATAGACTTGATCAAAAGTGATCACGGAGTCGATACCAAGCTGCCCTCAAAAAATGCTTCGACATGGAGCATTTCCGAAGATCGCTTTGGATTCAATGGATCGATCATGGTTATTTTCCCAATGAAATTCTGTCATTTACGGGCTTCATGGGGCTTCCTGACTACGGCGACCTGGGTCGCTACTTGATGCCATTTATGAAGCGACCTTAATGGCTACGAAGCTGGCCTCTCAAAATCCCATGATCGTCACCCTATTCACTGGCCGTTGGGCTCTCTCTTTGGTCTGACCTGAGACCCAACAAAAACATCAAACATGGCTAGAGCCCATTTTCACAGCCATATTTCATAGGATGCAGGTGTGACCTTGCATGTGACAGGGGAAAGGAGTCAGATATACCATGTCACACCAATCAATCAATGGCCATTTCAGGGACCGATTGATTGGAGGTACCTACCAATATATATAAGGCCTTAGTTTCAGGGGATATACCCCCCAAATATGGCCAACAATATGGTACCTGGTACCGTACCTCCATGAATTGGATCCTGGAATTCCCATTGAACCAACTTCCTATGAATATTCTTACCCAACCTGGTTATGTCAAAATAGCTATTGAAGCCATGGGCCAATCGAAATAGTGACATGTCCCATAAAAAAATGGTGGATCTTTCCATCGTTTTTTCTATGTTTACCAGGCCGGGTACAGCATCAACTTCAGCTTCCTCTGGCTGATGTACCGTCTGGCTCCTCGCTTTGAGGCACTGCGGCCCAAGATTTCATCAGTCTACGCCCGTTTTCCGCCACCCGGACCGCTGGGCTACAAGAGTATGTATATATATATATGATATGTATATAACTATATAATAGTAATCATTAAAAAAATAGAATAAGAATAATGACAGTAATCATACCAACACACAAAAATAATAAAACACATACAATACTACATGATAATAACATAACATTATAATATAAAAGCACCGGACTCATGGCGAAACATCTTCGGGAATCGATGCAGCTGGGATGATCCCCAGAGTCGAAAGGAGCAACTTCAACAGACCC